GTTTGAACATGACGTGTTCCATTTTTACGACTTTGAATATGCGGCTCAAGTAGGGAATGTCATCTACCCAATTGAAATTGGAATTAGTTCATATAGACTTCACACTAATAAAGAGGTGGGGACATTCCATCGACTGTTGTCACCAGGCCCGTATCAAAACATTTTCAATCGAGCGTCTAAAATCCACGGTATTAATCCAAAAAGCCCCGACTTGGACGGAAACTATACCTTGATAGCTTCTGAACTTATCGAATACTTTCATCAATTTCACACTCAGTTGGCCATTTTTGTATCGAAAGAAGAACAACTTGCAGGGGATAAGAAATGCCTTGTGGAAATCTTTAACAGAGGAATGATAGACCTTCCTGATAATGTGAGATTCATCACACATGTCCAACTCTTCACGTTATGGACAAAGGTTTTCACACACAAAGTGGAGAACGTTAATTTCATGTTAAACCAAATCTTCAAACAATTAGAGTGCGCACAGAGATGCACCTTCCATCAGACAATTGATCCAAAATTTCACTGCGCACTCTCGGACGCTAGACATACAAGTCTGATGGAATTAATTTGTCTCAAGCATTTTCAGTGGGAAGTGGACGAAGAAATCCAAGGCGAGAAGTTACCAAAGACCACTTTTGTTAATATGAATTGGGAAGTAAAAAATACTATAATTTGTTTTATAGGCATTGGAATGTATAATGACGTGTTTCCTTCGGAAATTGTGTTCACTTTGTATGACCTCGACACGTATAAAACTGAACAAAACATTTTTTATTTGGCACTGCCGGAAAATTCTAAGTTCCAATCAGAAACAGCAAAAACAATTGAAAATATCAAAAAAACAGTCGGCGAAACTAATGAAATCGTTTTTGAAAAAATTAATCATTATATAGACAATCTGGCATTACGTGGAAAATCTGTGATCATCGTCAATTTGAAGGGAGGAATCGCAAAGTGCGTCCCATCAATCACGTCCGTTCATAAATTCTTGAACCTCCCCATTTTGGACTTTCAAAAACAAATTTTAGAAAAAATGGCAAAGGAGAGGAAAACATCAAAGCAAAAAGTACAGACGTTTACTAATATTGTGAAAAGCATAAATTTGCCAGAAAATCACGTTTGTATTGTACATATGAGAAGCCCGGCAGATTGCGCCAAAAGACCATCAGACGAAATGGTTTCTGCGTTTTCTCACCTTTTTGAAGATTATGATAAAACCGTTTTGGAATTCGGTGTTGTTGAACCAGAAAAAGAGAAGGAAAAGAAAAAGATTGAATGCATTAAAGTCGAGCCAAAAGAAGATAAAAACGAAAAGAAAGAAAAGGACGAAGAGGTCTTTCACTGTAAAAACGAAGATAAAGAACCTACTCCAAAAGAAAGGGAAAGACGGCCAATCAAAACAGTTAAAAGAGCTACAAAATCATCCACCTACGCAAAGTTCCATTTTGAATAACATTTGAATAACATTTTTGTATTGCTTAAATTTTAAAAAGAATTTGTATATTATAACTATAGTTAAATAATAATACAATTATCATTTGGTTGTTATTCAATTGCCAAATAACTTTTAAAAGAGTCGGAACAAAAAACCATTTTAATTAAAAAACTTCTTAGGGAAGTTATTTATCATATGATAATAAAATTCTATTGATTATAACAAATAAAATTTCCCGTGATTTTGCATCAAAACTACTGCGTGGTGGAACAAAACTGCAAATAAGGTTGGAAAATAAAGGGAACTTGGAAACTAAATGTCCAGCTTCCGCGTCGACAAAGGGATTTCTAAATTTTTCAAGGCCGCCTACGAAAAACAAAAACTTGAGGAGTTCAAAGATTCTTTCTTCCCTCCAGATCCAAGCGTTGTCTATTTCCACAACAGCTCCCCACAGTCTGAGAAAACACCAGAGCAGTACTTTGTCAACTACTCGAAGTATTTCGCAAACATCTGTTTCAGCACTTATCCTGTGATGAACAACCAGAAATTCGGGAAACCAATAGCAGACTTCACGCAGACAGACGTCTACAAAAATATGGCGATCATGTCGATTGCGGACGGCTGCGGGATGGGGTCCAGACCCGCGAAAAGCGCACACGTCGCGTGTGAGAAGTTTGCCGAGTACGTATCGTCGGAGGCGGTCAAGGAAAAAACACTGGGCCGAGTTCTCCGTGTGATGAGTGACGCGATGGCTTATGTTCAGTGCTCAATTCTTGAAACGGAAGAAACTTCTATGGACGCGGGACTCACCACTTTCCAGGCCGTTGTGGTGCTTCGGACTGACCAAATGACTTACGCTGTTCTGTATATTTCATTGGGAGATTGCAGAGGTCTTTTGGTGCACCGTTCGTCTGAAAAAATCGAAGAGTTAGTCGAGGGGTACGTTTCACGAGTCGATGTAAAAACGACTGGGGGGAGACTTGGGCCAGTCGAGGGAGATTTACCTGAGTTGGATAATTACAGGTGTGGAATTCGATTTGTACACCCAGGGACTTCAGTGTTATTGATGACTGATGGTATTTGCGACAACTTTGACATTCGAATGTTTGTGGATAAGCCAAGCGAGTGTGGCTTGAGTGGAAACGAATGGCTTGACGAAGACGTACAACACCAAGAAAGACGAAAGAGTGAATTTTTCTCGAAAATGGTTGAGATGTATTTGGAGCCATCGTTGGTGCAGTTGTGTGAAAACGTTTACGACTTTGTTGTCGAGAGAACACAAAAGCAACGAACACTGAAAATAGAGGCTTCAAAGACCAAAACTAAAATTCCAGCGAGCCAGTCATTGCACGGGAAAATGGACCATTCCACACTCACGGTCCTTGTACTCAACGATGGGCTCTTTAACAGATGCCAAGTCGAACCACTTGAACTTGAAGTACCAGCCGATATGAAAATTTAATTTTAATTTACGATTAATCACATTTAATTTAAGTGATTATTTCTTTATATGCTCTAATTCAATTATAGTTAAATATATATTATATTGTATTATATAAATAAAATAATGAAAACGTAATTTGAAAAAATTACTAATTTGTAATTTTTTATTTTTAATACTACAATCATGGTAAATTTAATGATATAATATAAGAACTGTTATTTATTTTTGGAATCAGTAATTCGTCAAAGTACACTCATCAAAACGTCAAAAAAAACAAAAAAGAGCAAGTTCTGGTAATTGTTTTTGCGATCAAGATTTATCGGAAGAAAAAATCAGTTTTCAATTTTACATTAGAAAAAATAATACAATTGATTTTTTGTGTTCCGATAAATGATTTTTGTGAGTTTTTTATAGTGAGATCTCAATTTTTTGAGATTTGAAAGTTATCTGAACTTTTAATCAGAAAGTTGACTTTATTGTGATTGACATAGTGAGATTTTCATTCAAATGATTATGTTGGAACGAGAGGAAATTTGTGTTACGAAAATTGAGAGATAAACAAGTTCAAAAGGTTCACAGAAAATGTCATATTCAAATATTGTATAAACGCACTTTTAATATGTAATTCGTTTGTGCAAAAATTTTAATGTGTTTCAAGTCGTGTATAATGTTGGAACTTGTAAACATCATTTTAATTGATGTCACCAGGGAACTTATAATAATGTGACTCAAAGTGTTATGGCAAATGTTATGCAAATAGTGTTATTGTTGAATCTTATTTTAAAAATGTTTTATTTATAACCGTTTATCACATAAATTACCCCCGAATAAATTCCCGAACTATTGTTTAAATAATGGCCTATTTTCTTTAGAAATAAACTGTTATAAAAAGTTGGTTGTGGTACTGGAATGTACATGGCAACATGGGGGAAAAGTCCCCAAATCTTCCCGATTGAATTCGAACATCTATTTTTCTTGCAAACTAGACAAAAAGGAAAATGAATTAAAAAAACAGAGCTATTCAAATGCAAGTGAATTTGATTGGCCTAAAACGGGATTTAAAGGGAAGGAACAAAGATATCAAATATGACTTGCCGCACTTCCAATGTACTCCTCCCTTCTTTTAACTCTTTGCGGTTTGGGTATGTAAATCCATTTGAGCAGCAAGTCATGGCATTCAATATGGCTAACCTCTATGTTCCTCAGAGTGAGCCATCGAATACCTTGAACTTCTCTTTCGATTTCAGTGACGAGACATCAGAGCTCGAGAGCTGCGATTCATTCATCTCTGGTTCGTGTTACATGTAAAATTCCGTCTTTTCGTTTCTCTTCAAAAATAATAATAAACAAATCATTCACTTTTTTTGTCTCAAAAATACTTTTTCATATTTGTTTGCTTCGATTTATTTGAAAAAAAAGCTTTTGTGGTTTGTTTTTTAATAAAGTTAAAGTAAAGTCAAAATAGTTTGATTCAAAGTGGTGTTGATTTTTATGACTTTTTTCTTTTATTCGGTTCGTTTTTCGTTGCGATTTTTATAATAATTTTACTACTTGAGTATAGTTTTTAAAAATAGGTTGAAAAGGTATTTTTGTTTTTCATTTGTATTTTTTTTTCGTCTTTTATCATTTATTAATGGTAAAATATGGTTTGTTCGATTTACAATAATTAATTATTGTTGGTTGGTTTTTAGATTAGATTGCCCGAATTTTTAGTATAATTCACATTGTTTATACTATCTTATTTATGTTATTCTATGAATTAACAAATGAATTTTCTTTTTGTTCTTGATTTTTGTGGTGAGTTTTTTTTCTTGATAGTTTTTATTAATTTAAAAATGGCAAAAAAAAAATACAATAACTAAAAATAGTGAATTTTTATTTTATTTTGTTATTTTATTAAATCTAATTTTATCAAATAATATTGTGTTTGAGAATATTTATATGAATATACCAATTTTTTAATTATATTTAATAAATAAAATATTATTACTATTTACTATTTTTTTTAAAATGAAAGATTTTTTTTTGTGATAATTTCGAGCTTTAACTTTGTGATTAAACATCAATCTTTTTTTTCTGTAATATCATTTCGGTGTAACTCACACTCAGCTGAGTTTCTTCATATGATACACCAACACTCATCAATAAAAACAATTTTAATTATTTGTAATCTTTTTTTGTGGAAATTGTTCAACATAATGAATTGTTGAATTGCACAAAAACAGTCAATATAAAACAGAAAAACAGATATTGCCCAAGTACGTCACAAAATCACGCAAGGCACATGACATCTTTTAGCCTTTTTGGTTCTTTTGTATAACTTTTTAGATCTTTCAGAAAGGACTTCCGACTTTGTGACCACATCAGCCAAGTCTTCTTCTCTAGAGACCAATTTAGTGATTAAACAGCCCATCTTCTCGTTGATCTCATCAAGTTCATTTTTGATCATTTCTTCCTTTGACAATTCCATGTTCCGCTCTCTTCCGAAGTGTTCAAAGAGATATTTCAATTCCGTTTTACATTGTTGAATAGTCCCTTCGACATTAAAAGACTGTGTTAACTCGTTCCATTCACCACGTTCATAAAACACCTCAAAGCTTCTGTGTATGATGTAAGTAATTGTGTTCTTCGGATATGTTTGATTGGTTAATACACCAACTCCTATACCATCCCCTCGTAATAAAACATTAAATAATATCCCTCCATATTCTGATGTTGAAAGAACCATCCGTTTATCTATTTCACTCCGTGTAGCTACTTCAATAAACCCAAACGATATAAACTCTTTGATAGTCTCTATTCCGATAAATGAAAACTTGCTTGTATCATATAGAATGTGCGCAATACTAATCTCTCCTTCTTTCGACGCCAGAATACACAGCGAGATAAGTGACATGCTATGTCTTTTGAGTTGACTCTATCTTTCTTCCTTACAAATCGGATTCTATTTCAAAAATAGAGTAGAATGGAATTCTATTTCCTTTTTTCCTTAAATCTTTAACTATAATGTGCAAGTAACTTTATTATATTATTTTATTAAATTATTCTAATTTGTAAATTTAAATAATTTAGTAAATTTTGTTTTTATTTTTTTATTTTTTAAATTAAATTTGAATCGAATTTGAATCGAATTTTACGTAATTTATCAGGCAATTTCAAATTTTAAATATAATAAAATCAATAGTATGTTTTAATTATTACTTGGTAATATACTTTTTTAACTTTTTTTTTATTTTCAAGTAATTTTTGTGTGAAAAACCATCAAACAGCAAATATAGATCCGTCATAGCGTTGTGAAGACAAATTCAACCTTCATCACATTCCATAATAATAACAATATACTAGTAAATATACAATTAAACAATGGTACAGTTAAGAACCATCACAAAACCACTCAACGAAAACACAATAATAACAATTTGTTCAACAAAAATTCGAAGTACCGATTATACAACAAAATCATCAAAGAGTAACTAGTAAAGTCAGAATCAGTACTTCAATGAAGTTTCTAACAGACCAACGAAGTGGTCAAAAGCAGTTATCTGTGAAAATCGAGAATATCTACAAGTTGTGGAATGGAGGTGGGTTTTGGTTTATTATCTTTAAGAAGTTGTCCTCATTTTTCCAGATCTTAGTGGTAGCCACGATCTTTTCGTTACTCACGTTTTACAATTTTAACTTCTTTGTCAAGACGGACGAATTTTTCACATTAGTTTGGTGGAGGTGGACGATCTTTTCATTCATAGCTACCCTCTTTATGATCAGTTTTATTAATTATGTCTACACCATCACTAAACTGTTCAAAAAATATTATTCGACGTATCGCTATATGTCTTCCCCGACATGTCAACAGATATATAACATCGATGAATGGGACAATGTCGATGGACATGAGGGAATAGCAGAGAAGTTGAACTTAGACATAGCGAAGCAAGTCCGTACGGAACTGAACATCTTTGGGACCGATGAGAATGTTACTACTCAAGAGATTAAACACCGCATTTTAAGGAAGTTGTCCTTCTCCGATGATGTACTTTCAGTCATCCTCCGATACGTCACAGAAACCGTTCAAGGGGACTTCACTCTCTCAAACTCTATCCAGAAAGTCTGTCACACAAAGTACTTTGTCAAATATTTGAAATCTGTTCTGAATAAGTCCGCACATGACGTCTTTTTGTATGCTCCACTTCAATCGTATGGCGAAAATGAGTTCACTTTTGAGCACTTCAGTTACCTCAGAGATTATGAAGAGATGCGTTTTATCCTCATCGAGACGTTTGTTTTGTATTCAAATGCTTTCCAATGCTTTCTTTGAGAACATCAAATTGAAAGAATTGAGCGCAGAGAGTAATCAATAGTGTAAAAAAGAGACTTCGTGCCAACTTCGACCAAAAAGTGTTTTTCATGTTTGTGAGTGGGATCTTCTCGATAGTTAGTGGTGTCATTGACTTCATCTTCCTCTCGGATTACTCCTTTTTCTTGGACAACACTTGGTCGTATGCTGCGGAAAAGGTCTTCCACTACGTCGGGTATGACCACTCCTTTCAATACAAATTGAATAAAGCACAGAAACACGCTCAAAAGTTAGTTTCGACGCAGAAGAGTGATAAGAAGAAGAAAATGGTAGTGAAGAACTTAAAGACGGTGTTGATTGGTCTTTTAATATTGATGTTAGGGTTCAGTCTTAATGGCAACGACTTGCAATCAATTACCTTCGACGAGTCGAGTGCACTCGCCTTTTTGAACCCCATTAAATCGTTCTTGACAACAGGAATCATCTTATCGATTGTCATCTTCTTGTCGCAATATTCTTCACAAGACCCACAATCTGATGGCATTAATGGGATCCGTGCTAAAATCGAATTGATTCTCGGGTATCACTTCCCCGTCGACTTGAATAACAGAATCGGAGAAATCACCAAATTCTACTTCCCGCCATTTTACAAGACGTATTTCGACGAGTTACTTGCACCATTCAGGACATTTGGGTTAATGCGGTCATTAACCGTACGAAGTGCATTTGGCGATGGACTGGCTCATGTATGGGAAGAACAGCGTTTTTGTGAGGAAAACAGTCCCTATTGCCAGGCACAAGTGAATCACTTGCAACAAGAAATTCGCCTTTGAAAATCTAGTGTTTATCTTCAATTGACTTTTTATTAATTCGTTCATTAGTTCAATTCTATACAAATTATACAAATGCTTATCACACAAAATGATGATCTTTTCGTAGTAATAGAAACTTAAAAAGTGATATCAATGAATGCGGCGACAGAGGGCAACGTCACTCGCCTAGTAGAAATCATCAACCGCTTTGTGAACGAAAGAACTTATGTGGGAGAAGGACTGTTCCAACGCTTAAGTAACGGCTTAAAGGTCAATAGAGACATCGTGATGAATTCCGTGTTGAAGAAAGAATATGGGTGGCGACAGGTCGAATGTCGGATGATGCGCGGACGATGTTCTATCGATCAAATGACTCGATACCACCAGTCGATTCTACAGAGTATCACCAACATAAAAAGAGAGTTTGTGTTTGTCTGCGACGAGTATGGGCGGTCGTTGAAGTGTTTAACACCGCAGCGTTGTTTTTGTCAAATGAAAGGCTCTCCAGATCCCGTCGAGATCAAACGCGAGAGTTGCGAGTCGGAAATTTTCTATGCGATATGTTCGGATGGGACTCTTGTGAAGCCTTTAGTGACCGTTTTAAGCAGATATGAAGAACAAGCCAAACACCTTCTTGGCGAGAAAGTCGTTCTCAAAACAAATGACATTGGGTGTTTCAAATGGGTTGATCTCAGGAGTTGGATTAGTTCCACTTTAGTCAGCACAATCAATGAAAAACGTCGTCGTCTGAATTCACCAAATGAAGATGCTGTTGTTGTGGCCGCGGAGTTTTATAAAGACGCTTTTAATGTCGATTTATTGAAGAAGAACATGATCAAAATGATCTTTCTCAATGAGGTCTTAACAGAGTCCACTCCAATGCTCAAAATGACCGAATTAATCGATTTTGTTGTTTCAGTGCGATACATCGACAATCAAGACGTTCTCCCTTTAATAGCCGCTAACCTCTTAACACAAATCCCAAAGGAAAATGTTCAATCCTGCTTTTTGAATGTGTTTTACCTCGACACTGTATCCCTCCAAGTTGTCTCCTATGCCTTATTTAAAGACTTTATCACAAAACAACGGAACACGGAATTGCTTATTCCTCAAGAAGTGAATGATGTGTGGACACGGGAACACTTCAAATTCAATTTCACGGTCTTGAAATACCCATTCACCGCGTTGATGATTAATATCTTCTCAACAAAACCATTTCTCGAGTGTCACAGTGTGTCGGAGCAAGTCATATTTCTTGTCAAGTACTTTCCAGTCTTAGTCAAATATTTTCGAAAAGTTGATAATTGAGTGTGCTTTGTGGTAGTCTCATTAATAAATAATTAACTCTCATAAACAAATCATTTATAAAACAACTCACCAACAATTTGACGGCGCATTCAGTTTTGTGTTCAACGCATAACACCCCGAAAAGCATTTCTCACCCAGTCGGACGGTTGGAGGGAAGATGATATTCTTCAAACTCTTACACCCTCGAAAACAGTTGTTGCTAATTATTTTGACGGAAGAGGGGAGGGTCACTGAAATGAGTGAGACGCAGTCCGCAAAGCAACTTTCTCCTAATGACTCGACTGATTGCGGGATGACGACGTTCTTCAAATTCACACAATTTTGAAAGCAGTTCTTATCCAATGAGACTAAAGTCGAGGGAAGCTTTAACGAGTGATTACTTCTCGAAGTCTGTGGAGTGATGCTTTGAATTAATTCAAAGTTTTTGAAGCAGCTCTCGCTCAGTGACAAAAACGCGCAGCTTTGTGGCAATATGTCGCCATAGATCTGTCGGTCGGTACTCGTGTAACACACAGACAAACACTTCACTTTGATGGCTTCAAACAGTTTACACACGTGATACGACATATTTGCTCGTATAGGGTTTAATGCGGTTGGCGCAGTGAGCACCTTTAAATTGGGGCATCCATCAAAGCAGTTGTTCCCAATCGACGTAAGAGAGTCCGGTAACTCGATCTTATACAGTAAAGTACATCCATAAAAGCATTTTTCTCCAATCGACTGTAAATGTGGTGATAACGTAACACACTGTATAGAAGTGCATTCAATAAAGCACCGACACCCCAAAGAGACCACAGAAGGAGGTAATACTAACTCTCTCATATTAACATCAGAAAAAGCAAAACAGTCGTCCTCTAAATGGTGAACCGGCAAATTAAAAGGAATCGTCTCTCCATATCGCTTTTTATCCATCTGACAAAAGACAGTATCGGTGCACAACACATTACTCTGGTACAACGCCATTGCTACAGAATACGTCACCAATTCAACGTATATGGGAAACCCTAGTTGCCCCACATTGAAGTGCTTTAATTTGTAACACTCGTTAAAACAGTTGTGTCCGATGACTTCCAGTTTCCCGATCGTTACTCGCTTCAACATATGACACTTTGAGAAACAGAAGTCCTCCAAAATGGCGACGGAGTCTGCCTGGAACGATACCAAATTTTCGCACATCTGAAACGCTCGTGTTTTCACTCTCAAAAGATCTTTAAAGCAGACGTCTTGGATGGTTGTGTCATTCCGAAAAGTCGTTTCCCCAATTGAAGGGACAAAATCAAGTTTAATGATTCTCGAGTTACCAGTAGCTTTTTCAAATGAGCTTCTTGAAGAAAATGATAAGATCGAGGAATGTCTGGACACTGCTGCGGAAGAGGATGGAGTCTGTGGTTTTGATCCCGGGGGGAGAATTCTGACAGTTACGGACCGTGGAATTGTGTCACCAAAGATCTCTCTGTCTTCTTTAGTAAATATAACATTTGCACACTTCCGTCCAATTTTGATGTGGCGGATTGACTCGTGGATACTGAGTGGATACGTCACAATAGTCTTTTTGCCTTTGACAGAGGGGCATGTTGGGGTGTACATGAAGTGGACCTCCATGTTGTCAAACAGTGAGATGTCGTCTGTTGGGTTAAAAGTAAAGAGTCTGAGGATGTTCTTATACTTTTTGGATATCAGGGGAATATTTCTGATGTCCTCGGAGCGCTTCATGTAATTCACAACCCGAAGAAGCGATGACGGCGTCAGTGTCTTAAGTTTGTGTGTATTCGACATAAAAATGAAAATGTAGTTTGAAGTCTTTGATAGTATTAGGTTGGTTTTTGCTGTTATCAATCAAACTTCTGGAGTCAACATAAAACATAGCTGTTTTGTTGGTGAATTTGGGTATAAGTAGAATATAACTATTTTTACTATTATTCAATAGTGTCGAAGATCAAGTTCCCTGAAGTGAGTTTATTTGGTTTTCAGTTTAATTTAAATTTACTTCTTATGTAAAATATGTTATCTTATGGTATGAAAAAATTCTTTTGTTTAAAAAGTATTTCGTGAGGTTGTTTTTTTATTATTTTTTAAAATAATTCAGTGTTTTGAGTATCGACAGAAAAAACATAAAATACGGGAAATTCGCAATGTTTAATTTTTTTCCATTTCCATATATAAACACCATATTAGAAGTAAATGGAAAGCTATTTTTCTTAACAAATAATAATTTCTACTGGCAAAATGATCTTTTATGTCATTTGTATTTTTATTATGGAATTTTTATTAGTTTTTATTTAATCAATTAATGGTTTTATTTATTAATCTAGTAGTTAAACCATAAGATGTAGTATTAAAATATTAATTATTTTCTGGTTGGTAATCGATAATTTATTTTGCTGTTTACTTCGGAAACATATTTTATTCATTTATTTTGCCCTTTTTATTTTTTCTTTAACAATTTTGTTTTGTGGTTAAATAAACAAGAAAACAACACTCAATTGGTTAAATTTAAATAAAATAATCCATAAAAAGACACTTAAGCGTTTTATGTTTCGTATTACCAAATAATATAGTTTAATACAAAACTAAAAAACGGGAAAAAACCCCACTAAATATATAAATATATAAATATATTAATATCATTAATTATTTTTAAATGGTTTCATTTTTTGATAATTAATTATATTTTTTTATTAAATAAATTATAATTTCAAAAAGCCAAAATTTATGATTTCGTTGGGTGATCGTTTCGACCCGCAACCGCAACTCCAAATAGAACAGAAAATGTTAAATTTTTGTTATTTACCAAAAAATGTGTTATATATAACAAAAAGAAAAAACAATAAATTTCAATTTTTTAATTAATTTTAATAATTATGAAAACTTTATAATACATTTATATTTATTATCAAATTGTTATTAAACCAGAAAGTTGGTAAGTTAAAAACCTTTTTTCAAATTAATATATAAAACAAACACAAATGGTAGAGATACCAAGCTTCAAAATACAAGATTTGGGAGAAGGTTATTTTACACCAATTGAAGTTGAAAAAGGACTTGAATCAATTTATAAGTCAATAAACAGAGATAATGCAACAAAGTTGATAAGAGAAAACTCTAGGTATCGAATTGAAGGACATGAGGTCTCCCTTTATGTATCAAGGGATAGTGGAGGACTCAGAAAAAAATTGTTTATGAATGTGTAGAGTCCAAAAATGGTTGTGGTGCCTTTCTTGTTATACATTTTAAAAATTGTGTATCAAATGTTGTTGAATCAATTGAATTGTGGACTCGTCACAACCATACATTCACTACACCTCCTCGGTCTCGGTGTGCAGTTAGAATGAGCGAAAAATCAAGAAAGATAGTTGAAGAAGACGCCAAAATGAACATTCCTCTAAATATAACCAAGACAAAAATAGGGGATAAATATTCTAAAGATGTTTTTTATGAGCATAGGCGTAAATTCTTGGGCATTTTGTCGAAAGATCAATGCAACGAATTAAAAGATTTTACAAAAACGTTAACAACATTCGACACCCAATTTGTTAACAATTCCTGTGGTGTATTTGATGAATGTTTCTTTTTTAATAACAATATCGTGTAGATTTGTGTCAAAAAAACGTTTTTTAGATGACACTTTCTGTACGAATAAATTCCAACTTCCAATTGAAGTTGCATTGTGTAAAGATATTAATGGAAACTCACAGTTGATTGCATTTGGATTCATGAGACATCGATTTACATCATACTATACTGACTTCTTGGGGGTTTTAAAAAGTCGTTTTTTTCCAATTAAGTGTTTTATTACTGACAGAATTATTGCACAAACAGCAGCTATCAAAGAAGTGTATCCAGATGTTTATATTGTGTTTTGTCACAGACATATTAAACGCAATTTAATCTCTGCATTTGGAATAAACTCCAAAATTGTTTCAAACTTTGAACTGTTAATTAATGGAACTATCAAAAGCGAAAAATTTATTTCATTTATACAAAAGTACAACTGTGTTGATAGTATAGTGGAAAGTGGGGATACATGTGTCGATAAGAATGAGATATTTGCCGAATTCGTTGATTATTGTAACGGAGAACAACCAACTACAGCTTTTGAGTTGAAGTCTAACGATAAAAAACGTTTTTTGAAACAGTTGATTGACATTAAATTCAATTGGCTTCCGGAGTTTACAAAGAGACACACGAAAGACACGACTACGAATGTTGTAGAAGGGGTTTTCGGAACTATAAAACAAAGAACTGGTGGTAAAATAGTTAGGTTAGTGGAAGTTACAACTATATTTATAGAAAAAGCCAGTACGTTGTTGTTCGATAGTGTCACTGGATTTAACGATGAAGACTTTAAAATACCCACCAAACTCATTGGAGTTGAAGCTGCTGCAGAAATACGTTGTGATTGGGGTAAAAAGTTACTTAAATTTTTTCAATGTTGGACAAATTTGGACCTCTCGAAACAAGCAGTAAAGGAGTATGTACTTGTGCTGTTTTTTTTTCAACATGGAAGGTACTTTCCTTGTTTTCACCAAGTGTATTGCAATTTCTTTGGTCCTGGAAGAAATTTAAAGAAATCGCTTTTTTCAAAGGAGGATTTTGGGAAGGAAGTATTTTTAGAAAAAACTAAAATAGCCAAACATGAGTTTTATCAAAGGACTATGAATAATTCATTTTTCAATTGGGAAAGAAGGGACCACATTGTGATATTCGATGAAATGGTCGACACGATTCTCAAAAATGCCACTCTAAAACAAAAGTGGTTCGAACTTGTCAGTTCGGTTTATCATTCGGAAATTACATCGGAAAATGTGTTAAAAAGGAATGAGGTGTTGCAGGAGGTTGATGGTGAGTTTAGTTCAAAAGATCCGGTTGTACTTATTTCTGCAAAGGTGAAACCAGCCAAATTGGTAGACTATGTCGAAAAACCTTTCTTAACCAAGGTCTCCAAGAAACGAATGGAATTTAAACCTCTTGGACCAACACTTCAAAGAATTGAATTGAAAGGTAATGTTTGCAAAATATGCATTGGTAGAGGACATATGGCAAAATGTTGTCCTTCTTGGAATAAAACAGAAAATTCTGATCGGTTTAATATATTCATTCAGTCTTTAAAAGGAGATAAGCGTACAGAATTCGAATTAAAACATAAGAAAATTGTTTGAATTTCAGTTGTAATTAGGATTTAATATGTGTATAAAAATAACAGTTAAAATATAATATTAAACCATTAACAAACTATACCAAAACAATTACTGATTTCAATTGTAGTAAATGTGTTGTTTATTGTGTGTATATATTATTTTTACAAGACAAAACAACACTTCTATATAATAATATAACATCATTATAATGTTTAAAAGATTCTAAGTTGTTTTATTAACACCAAATGTTTAAAAACCATAGATTAATAATTTTATGTAATTCTACCATAATATTCAAAATAAAAATGACCCGAATTACACTTAAAGTGCGTGATGCAGGTGTTTCTAAAGTTTACAATTTATTCCTTTTATATATGATTCAAATAAAATAACTGTTTGATGAGTTTTCAAACAATTGTAGTAATAATAGCAGAAAACATTTGTGTTTTGTGAGTTGTCATTTTAAAAATAATGCATTTTTTGTGTCATTATGTCTCTATTTTATCGTTATTCATCTTTGAAACAAAGTGCTTACAACTTATATTTGATATTTTGTGACAAATAAGAAACATGTCTTGTGTAAGTATACTATTATTTAAGATGGATTTCATTAAAATGATTTCATAGGTACCAAAGCTATTAACATATTATTATTTAGTATATTGATTAACATATTCAAAACCTCAAACACTGATGGCGTTTAAACACAAAATTTAAAAACCGATGAAAATATAAATTGAATAATTGAAATTTATTGTTTTTTCTTTTTGTTATATATAACACATTTTTTGGTAAATAACAAAAATTTAACATTTTCTGTTCTATTTGGAGTTGCGGTTGCGGGTCGAAACGATCACCCGATTTCGTTATAAAATAAAAGGTTTATTTTTTTTAGAATGTAATATTATATTATTAATTTTATAATATATATTTAATATTGATATATTATATTCATATTTATTATATATAATATAATATTATAAAATAATAATATATATATTATTTATTATTTTATTATATAGTTTTTATTTATAAAAGAAATGACTTTTTTTATTTAAATGTTTATTTTGTAATAAAGATGTTGTTTAATCAAATCAATTGAATTAAAAATGTAATAATGGTAAATAAATTAAATTACATAGTTTAAAGAAAATATGTAACACTTAAAGTAAAAACAATCAAGAAATATCTTGGTTTTTAAAAACATTTTTGGAACAAAACATTATTTTATTATTCAAAACTATAACATATTAAGTTAAATTGTTATAATAAATAGTAACACTGAAATAATTGTTTAATTATCACCAAAATGTGTATATTATTGTGCAAATAATTAAAAAAAATCCCCGAAGAACAAGAGGGGATTTGTATAATCTCTACTTAAATAACATTATTGGTTTTCAAGGATAAAAAACGAATGAAAAAAATATTGAGATTAGGTTTGAGTTGACTTGAAATATGGTTATAAATCGGGCTAAATCAGATATGGAAGGTGTGAAGAAGACTTAGTAGACATTATCGGTCTGTTTAAAAGAGTGAACTAAATAACCCAAAGAATGAGTTCAAAAAAGACTGGAAAGCGGATTGCCTCGATAGTTGGGCGTTATGAAGAGATTGACAAGAAGAAGGCTGAGGAGGAGCAACTGATTGAGAAGATAAAAGAAGATCAAAAGAAGAGAGGGACATCACCTGGGCGTGTACAGCCCACTGTTCATAAAACCTTTTCTCAAAAAATAGAAATTCCAAAAACCAAAACACCACCTTTAGAAAAACAAGAGGAATGTCGAAAAACTGCCAGTGAAATTATTGAGATCAAACAACAAAAAGAAGAAAAAGAAGAACATAAAGAAGAGAAGAAAGGTGATATTTCAGTGCAAATCACTGAAGACAAAACTGTTGGAGATCTTCCACAATGTGATACTCAAGCAATTATTAAAGAAGAAAGAAGTGAAAGTGTAGAAGAGTCCCAACCCGTTTCTGTCCCTCAAACAGAAGAAGACAAAGACGTTGAAAAAAATAGTGAAAAGAAAGAGACGAATGAACGTGAAGAAAAAGGCAAAGAAGATATTTTACATGGCGAAGAAAAAGAAGACCAAAAGGACAAGTCAAAGAGTGACACAAATGCAGTGGCACCAGAAACCAAAGATGAAAGTGCTATTTTGGGAGAAGACGAAAGTGATAAAAACACGTATCATTCACATGGCGATGTCGAAAATGATGAACATGAAAACAAAGACAGTAAACAAGAGACACACCCTTTAGGAGAAGACAATGAAATCAAAGAGGAAAGTAACAAAGACGTGGAAGAGAAGATAGAGAAAGAAGAAAGTCATACTCTTTCACAGCCTCAAATGGAAGAAGAACCCACAACAAAACACGAAGACAAAGTGGAAGACATTAAAGAAGAAGTGAAAGAACCTTCAAAACAAGAAGAAAAGGTTGAAAAGAAAATTGAAGAAGAAACTCCAAAAGAATTGGAAAAGCCTGAAAAAGTCGAAGAGAAAAAGTCAACTTCATCGTCAGACGAAAAGAGTTATTCCACGGAAGACGAAAACAAGCTTGGAAAAATACTAACGGACACCGTCACTGATTTAGTCACAGAAATCGATGAAAAGCCAAAAGCAGAAATTGTCGAAGAAAAAATGAAAGAAAATCAAGAACTTGTTGAACCCCCCATTGAAAAGAAAGACAACCCGGAACAACTCTCACAAACACAAGAAGAACAAGTCAAAGAAATATTAGCCGAGTCAATGGAAAAGATTGAAAAGGAGGAAGAAGAACCACAAGAGAAGAAAGAAGAAGTCACAATGGAGAAACAAGTTAAGAAGGAAGAAGTGGAGAAGAAAGAAGATATTCCATCGGATCAATGTCAAATTTCAAATACTTTAATGGAAGAAGTGGTTGACCAAATAGTTCAATGCGCTGTGAAAGAAGGAGATGATGAGAGTGAAGAAGTTAATGAAGAAGCGACGGGAGCCAAATTTGTGGTTGAAGAAGTCTCAAACGAGTCTTCAAGTTCTTCAAGTTCGGAAGAGGAAAAAGAAGAAGAAGAGCAACACACGTCGAATACTTTTGGAAATAAGAAACAAGACGAATTGGAGCAAACAGAAAAGAAGTTGGACGAAGAGTTGAGACTGTTAAATTTAAAAGAAGACGGAAATGGGAAAGAAGAGAGCGACGAGGAGGAGCGAAAGTTGAAAGAAGAAGAAGAGGAACTTGCGAGAGAGGAAGAACGAATTAAAAAAGAAGAAGAAGAAATTGAAAGACAAAAAGAAGAGCAAATCAAAGCTGAAGAACAAAAACGGGAAGCTGAAAGAGTCGAGAAAGAAGCTTTTGAAGAGGCAGAACGTGTTAAACAAGAAGAGGTAGAAAAAGAACGACTTGAAAAGGAAAAAATTGAAGAAGAAGAACGTTTGGCACAAGAGAAGGCTGAAAAGGAACGTTTGGAGAACGAGAGAATAGCAAAGGAGAAAGTTGAATTGGAAGAGAAAGAACGATTGGAAAGAGAACGTATTGCTCAAGAAAATGCGGAGAAAGAAGAACGTGAAAGACTTGAGAAGGAAAGAATTGAAACTGAAAGAATAACTCAAGAGAAGGCAGAAGCTGAACGTTTAGAGAAAGAGCGATTAGAACAAGAGAGACTCGAAAAGGAGCGACTTGAGGCCGAAAGAGTCGCGAAAGAAAAAGCAGAACAAGAAGAAAAAGAACGACTGGAGCGTTTAGAGACAGAGAGAATTGCCAAAGAGAAAGCGGAACAAGAGGCTCGAGAATTGGCAGAAAAACTTGAACAAGAGCGATTGGAACAAGAAAAAAGAGAACAAGAACGTATCGCGAAAGAAAAGGCTGAAAAGGAAGAGCAAGAACGACGGGAAAAGGAGCGTATAGAAGCGGAAAGAATAGCTCAAGAGAAGGCAGAAGCTGAACGTTTGGAGAACGAGAGATTAGCAAAAGAAAAGGCGGAGAAAGAAGAAGCAGAACGGATTGCAAAAGAACTTGCGGATAAATTGGCACGTGAAGAAGCCGAGCGTCTTGAAAAAGAAAGACTTGCAAAGGAAAAAGCCGAACAAGAGAGAATTGCTCAAGAGAAGGCAGAAGCTGAACGTTTGGAAAAAGAGCGACTTGAAGCTGAGAAGACAGCCAAAGAGAAAGCAGAACAAGAAGAAAAAGAACGATTGGAAAGAGAGCGTATTGCCAAAGAAAAAGCAGAAGCCGAACGTCTTGAAGCTGAAAGAATTGCTAAAGAACAAGAAGAACGTGAAAGAGTTGAGAGGGAAAGAATAGAACAGGAACGTATTGAAAAGGAGAAAGCTGAAAAGGAAGCACGTGAAAAAGCAGAAGCTGAGCGTTTGGAGAAAGAGCGACTTGAAAAGGAAAGAATTGAACAAGAGAGAATTGCGAAAGAGAAGGTTGAACAAGAGGCTCGAGAATTGGCAGAAAAACTTGAAAGAGAGAGATTAGAACAAGAGCGTATTGCTCAAGAAAAAGCAGAAGCGGAACGTTTGGAGAAAGAACGACTAGAGAAGGAGCGTATTGAAAAAGAAAAGGCGGAGAAAGAAGAGAAGGAACGCATTGAAAAGGAGAGAATAGCTCAAGAGAAAGCAGAAGCTGAACGTTTAGAGAAAGAGCGATTAGAACAAGAGAGACTCGAAAAAGAGCGACTTGAAGCTGAAAGAGTCGCGAAAGAAAAAGCAGAACAAGAAGAAAAAGAACGACTGGAGCGTCTCAAAAAGGAAAAAGAAAAAGCAGAAAGACTGGAACAAGAAAGAATTGCTAAAAAGAAGGCTGAAAAGGAAGCTCGCGAAAAAGCCGAGGCTGAGCGACTTGAACAAGAAAAAGCAGCAAAAGACTTAGCTGATAAATTAGAGAAAGAGAAGGAAGCCAAAGAAAAGGCCGAGCAAGAGCAAAAAGAAAAAGAAGAAGCTCTTCTTCAAAATGCGAATACTGAAGACACGTTTATTCCATTGGATAGTGATGAAGAATCAGAAGGATCAGACCAGAAACAACACACCCACAAAGCCGTCAAAGAATTGTTAGTGAAAGTTGACAAAGAAATTACCGTCGACCCTATAGCGAAATCAAGAGCAAAAACCATATCTCGTAATCGTATGACTATAACGGGCTATGAATTTAAAAGGAAATTGACAACAGAGAGTGACCAATCTTTGAATAGAGAGGCGCCAGAAACAACAAGTAAAGTGCCTCGAGGTGGAATGGGAATGGTTGGTATGGGCATGGGGATGGCTGGGTTTAATCCATCCAAAGTAACATTAAAAAAGACTGGAACGAGTGGAGCAAGTCAACAACCCGCCGCAGCGCCTGCTATGAATCCATTTGGTGGCTTCAATCCAGCTGCTGTAAAATTGAAAAAGGCTGGCGCTGCAGCTCCATCGGAAGGAACTCCAATCCACACACAAAAACAAGACCAGCCAACGGCTAGTCCGTTTGGGGGGTTTAATCCCGCCGCCGCAAAATTAAAGAAAACGACTAAAAAGGTTGTGGAACCAAAGAAAGAAGAGAAGAAGGAAGATGACGTTCCTGAATTCATGAGGATGAAATTGAAAAAGAAAAACTGAGTCCAACACTTTACCATTCATTGATGTGATTTTTCAAAGTTAGATGGTTGTGAGGTTCTTGTCTAGTTGAGACTTTAACAAGACTTAAATTAGAACTATGGATTATACTATAAGTAAATTATTATTGAAACTATAACAAACAATTGTTATAGTACTATTCCAAAAATAAAAACTATAAATTATAATATCTGTATAATAAAGAAGAAAAACTATATATTAATAATAAAATTAATTAAAAGATTAATAATGGAATAATAACAAGTGATAAACATTTGTTGCCTTCTTACACAACAAGTAGATATTTGTGTTCTGATGAACGATTGAGAAAAAGATGCAACAGTTTATAAAAACAAGACTTAACTTTAACGTGATTAAACAATAATTTATTTTGTTTGATCAACACCAATATTCATAATAAGACCATTCTTGTAGTACTTTCGTGGTATTTCATATGCCTTTTCCATCGTATCTTTGGGCCAAAATATCTCGAAGATAAACTGGAAGAATAAGGCGAACCAATGCAAGAAGAATAAGAATGGTCCAGACCACACACCTTCATAGTACATTCTAGACGTCAGTATTATCTATTGGAAGCATCTAGTTATTATATTTTAATTATTAAGAAACTATAGAATCGTTCCAAAAATAGTACAAGTTACAAACTTGTGGATATGTTCAAATTTGTCGCAGTGTGGTGTCTTCAAAACATTGCGATACATATTTTCTGTTCTTGTTGCGACTTTTTCCCATGAGTAGAACTTCTTAACGGCGTTGTGGAATTCCCAGTCCTTCTTTTCTTTGCAAGTTGGGATGAGCTCCTCGATCTTGTGATAGACATCCTCCACTGTTGGCATTGCGTATTTAATCATATTGTTTGGAAGCACTTCAGGCACTCCGCCGACATGAGTTGACACAACGTGCAATCCACAACTCAGCGCCTCAATAATAGCAATACAAAACCCTTCTGTGAGTGAGCAATTTAAGAATATATCGCCTTGAATCAATACATTCCGCGTCTCACAGTGTTGTACAGCTCCTAATAATTTGACTCTACTTTGTAGCCGATACCTTTCTCTCATCTCTTCAAAGTTTAACATCATCGGTCCATCTCCTCCAATGATGAAATTGGCGTTAGGGTATTTCGTACAGATTTTGGGTATAACACCTACTGCAAGATCAACCCCCTTTCTATATACTAATCGACTTAAAATTACGATGGTAATACAATTTGGATCGCGACTATCCGGATTTGGTAAAAACTTGGAACTCTCCAAAGCGTTTGGAATGACATAGATCTTACAAGGGTCACACTTCCCTCTCAAACACAAGTTTTCTTTCGTGCAATGCGACACGGCGACAGCACCGTCGCTATTTGCAAGGGAATATTGGAGCACCGTATTCAATAAAATGCTCGATAGGCCTTTTAATCCAAACAAAGAATGTTCCGTCATAAAAACACGGATACCAAGTAGGCGAGCGTAGTCCATTGTCGTCAAACTAATTGACGAAAAGGACTGGTGCGCGTGAAATATTTCAATTCGCTCTCTGACTAATATGTTTCGTATCAGGGAGTGCTCGGAAATCGCTGTTGGGAAGACACACTCATTGAAAACGGGGAGAAGTGGGATGTAATACACTTTAATGCCATTTTTTAAAACCCTAACCCCATCACGCTCGCCATACTGGTGTGTTATGATGACGACTTTGTGTCCATGTTTCACTAAAAAATGAGAAATTTGATACTGATGAAGCTCGACCCCTCCCATATTCGGAAAGAAAAAATCCGACGCAAGACAAATCCGATAACACCCCGGTTCAGGCTCCATTCTTTTTTTCTAGTTGTTATATTAATAGTTGCTACAATCAATTCATTTTTATTGTTTGATGTATTGAATTTCTATAGCTTTTTATTTGTAATTGGTATTAATAGATTTATTATTTATTACTATTCTATTTTAGTTGATTTTTTTTCTATATTTGTTAATTATAATATTGTTTATTGTATAAATTGAAACACACTGATAATTGTTACTTTAATTGTTATATTTAAATTAATATCTTTAATTAGATTGTTGCATTATATAATAATAATAATATTATTATTAATTTAACAATTCAGAACAAATAATGTTTAATATAATATAATATAATATAATATATAATAATATAATATAATATAATAAAGTTAGAGTTTAATATACAACTTATTGAGTTTTTTTAATGTTGAAATATCAAATCGAAAAAGTCAACTAAATTTTATAATAAATATAATAAATATTGTATCTAATTTTATTTTTATTAGATCAACTATTAATAATCTAAAATATTGTTTTTTCCAATGACTAAAAAAAACAATTGTTATTAACCAATCAGAATCAACAACCAACCTAAATCAGAAAGGAAAAAGAACTATAAACTCATAATTTTGTAAAAAAATGACAATTCACCGCCCATTGACTTCAATCAATAATAATAGTAGTAATGTTGAATGAATCTTTGTAGTTTAATTATAGTAAACAATAATATAAATATAGTTTGAGTACCGACTAAAAATAAAAGGGATAAAGAAACTAAAATGAATAGTTACGGAAAACTTACTTATTCTTCAACCAATCTTTCTGTTTTGACGGCTTTTCAAATTCTCAAAAATTTCCAATCACCCGATTATCCAAAGAAACTCAGAAGATTTATCCAAACTTGAAACTTTGAAAATCAAATGATAAGAACGATTGCCGCGCAGGACAAGACGTGTCTTTCGTTCCAAGGGATGTTGTTTGACCTTTCTTACGTTCTTCCAAACTTAATAGCAATGGCGTTCCCCGCCACCGGCTTTTCCCAGCAGTGGAGAAATTCCCGCAACGACGTCGCTGCTTTTCTCGCTAAAAACCATAAAGACCACTTCAAAATTTGGAACTTGACCGAAGAACAATACGACGGAACTCCTTTTAACAACCAAGTGGTTCACGCCGGCTTTTTGGACCACCAACCCCCTAAGTTCAACTTTCTGATTGAAATTGTGTCTGATATTGTGAAGTATTTAAACGAAGACCCAATGAATACAGCGGTTATACATTGTAGAGCGGGAAGAGGACGTACGGGGATAGTTGTCTGCGCTGTGTTGTTGGCACTTGGTCGAGCAAAAACGACTGAAGAAGCGTTGACTCTCTTTGGGGAACGAAGAAGCAAGAAACAGAGGGGCGTCACGGCACCTTGCCAAATGAGATACGTCTATTACTTCGATTGCTACTTACGATCGTTTGAGAACTTCATTAAGATACCGTCGTATCTCATCAAATTTTCGTCCATCGAGACGTTCGGACTTAAAATTGGCATTTCAGGATATGAAGACGCCACACCCATTTTCTATTTCAACCCACTGAGTCAACACAATATGCACCCACAGTTACTTTATATACAACAAAAGTTAAATCGTATCGACGATCGTTGTTTATCAGTCTTTCCAAAGAATATCATGTCGGGGGATATCGTCATTGTTATCTGCTTCTTGTCGAAAGGTAAGATCAACGTCATCGGGAGATTGATGATCAACACATTCTTCTTGGAAGATGACGTCAAGTACGAATTCACGTTAAATGAGATTCAAAGCCCCACGGAGGGGAGAAACAAAAACTCGTTCAAACTTCCCGAAGACTTCAAAATCATTGTGAGGACCGAGCAATTTGAAAATTATGACGACGTCGTCCAAGCCCATGACAAAATACTCAATTCGCTGTTTGTCCTCAATTCTATCGATCGCATTGTCGATAGAAATCAAGTAAAAAGAATGTCAACACCCCTCTCCGAGACCTCCATCCCAAGTTACCCGGCACCGCCATCGTTGGATATGACCTTTTTGTAAATCATTTAAGTGTAAGGTCTGTTTTTATTCCAATGGTGTGGTTTAACTAGTACGCAATTTCTTAATGGATACAAGAAGAACGAGAAAGAATTCTATCTGCAAAAAATCAATAAATCTACAAGTGCATTTAGTCTATTGTTATCTTCTTTGGGACGACTGAGTTCTCCATAGTTTGGTTACTCAATTGTTCCAGTAATGAGGTGAAAAGAGGGTTGGTATAGACCGAATTTCCACAGAGCCATGGGTGTGTGAGGACGCCCTCGACATTCAGTCTATAATTGATGTCTGCAGTCAAACACTTTTTGATGAAGTCTTTGCACTCGACAGAGATGATCCCCCATTCGTCGTCATCGAAGTTGATATCGCCTGCCTTCATTTGTTCGATGTTTTCTGCTAAGTTATCCCCATCGAATGGGTAATACCCACACATTGAAACAAAGACAGTCACGCCAAGACTCCAAATGTCACACAAATGGGTATACTTTTCTTGATGAAGTAGCATCTCAGGGGGTGCATAGTCGAATGTGCCACATGGGGTTTTTAAGATGTCTTCTGAGAACTTCTTTGCAAGACCGAAATCGACGAGTCGGATATTGAACGAGTTTTCTTTGCCCTTTTCCATCAGCAGAATGTTCTCGGGCTTCAAGTCCCGATGACAAATACCTTGAGAGTGCAAATAATACACTGCAGATGCGACTTGGTAAGTCACCCATTGCGCTTGTTGTTCACTTAAAGGTTTCTTCTTAATCAATTGAAAGAGATTGCCGCCTGGTGCGAATTCAAGGACTTCATAGATGTAGTCGTCGTCTTCTAAGATGTCGTAGACTTGTAAGAGATATTTATGTTCACACCATTTGACGAACCCTATCTCCCTCGAAAGAGTCTCAAGTTGGTCTTTCCGGACAATCGTCTTATCAATAATTTTCAGCGCAACAGTGTCACTGGTTTTCTTGTAAATAGCGCGGTGTACAACGGAAAAGCCACCTCTCCCAACTACTTCACAAAACTTGAATTGTTTTTGAACGTCCGCATACCTTGACTTGCCATTGAGGATCTCATCACATATCTCTTTCTTCTCTTCACACGCTTTTTTCATCGACTTTTCATCACATGAAGCTGGAGATGGCGTTTTAGGTATTTCGGGTAAACTCGGCGTTGATACTGCAGTTTGAAAACGTCGAGTCGATCCAAGACGAATTGAACTGGATCGTTGTTTTGTTGTGTATTTCACCGGTTTCCATGTCGCAGTTTCCATCGTCTCTTTGGTCTTGTTGATCAACTTCTTCTCTTTCATCTGTTTCTCAGACATCTCAATTTGCTTTATGCAGTTCAATTCCTTGTTCAACTTTAACTGAGAAAAAACGATTTTCAATTCTCCTGTTCTAGTTTATTTATATTTTTTATACTATCAATTATAGAATTTGTTTTTGTGGCCGCCAAAATAGAATTTGAAAATTGAAATTGAAAAACAAAAAATTTCCTTTTTGGTAACAGAAATTCTTTTCAAAAGTTTTAAAAAAGTTTTTCAAAATTTTCAAAAAATTTCAAATTTTTTTTTAAATGAAAAAAATACTTCAAAACATAGAAATGGCAAAGACGTGGAGTTTTGATAGTCAAGCGATTGGTTTAAAAATTACACGCCCAAAATTATATCGGACCGAAGTAGTTGAGCCCGATTCCTTTTATGAACTTTCCATTGAAGAAGCGCAAACATTAAGTCGGCCACAAACGCGGGACTTCCGGTTTGTAGAAGAGCACAGTGAAACCGAGAAATTACAAAAACTTGCGAAGATGAAGACAACGACATTAAAATTCAAATTTCCTGATGGGATAGAAGTGATTCGAACATTTTCGCCACAACAACGTCAAAAAGAGGTGTATTCCTTTATTCGTGAAATCAGTACAGAAATTACTTTTGTCTTACGAAAGCCATATGGGAAGAACAATTATGTACTTGACGACGACACTTTACTCTATACCAATGGCCTTGTCCCCAACAGTGTTTTGTGTGTTGTTTTAACGAAACCGCCAACACCGAAAACGCCGTTACTTCGTGCAGAATTATTACAAAACAATTAAGAAGTAATTGAGTTAAACAAATGTCATTTTTAATACAAGCGCGTCACTGAAAAGTGGAGGAGGAGGAGTCGACAACCTTTTTTGTTTGTGGAATATACGACTCAACTATCTTTCCATTCGCGTCGCACCAAGTCTCTTGTATGAAGTACCCACACACCGTCTGCTTTTTGATTAACTTCCAATCGGACAACGTTGCTTGTTGTGTTTGAAGTGGAAGTTGGACTTGTTGTTTCAACGTTTTGAGATGAAGACTTGGTTTCTCCGTCTTGTCTTTCTCACTTTTCTCGTCTTTCTCTGATCGGTCGATCGTGTCATGTCGCAAGGAGTCGGGGAGTTTGGGGGGAAGGACTTTCCGTTCAATTTCAGTGATCTTTTGGACTTCTTTTTGATCTTGTGAAAGAATGATTGGAGTCGATGATAAGTCGGGGAGTTTAGTCGGAACGTCGTCGGGTAGAAGTATAGTTTGTGGGACAACGTCCGGTTGATCTGACATGAATTTTCAGTTCCTTTTTAGAATTCAAAGATTTTTTGTATTTTTTTTGCTTTTTCTGAAAATACAATTTTTTGTAAAGAGTTGATAAAAAACACTTTTGGAGGAAATCAAAAAACATTTTTTAATTCTTAAAAATGGGCTGCGATGCTATGTTTATCTTTGATAGATTCTCCCGAAGTATGTCTATGAAGTGGTGAGTTGTTTTTGTTTGTTTTTCATAAGACTTGAAATTGAAATGAACTTTCGAAATCAATACAAAATAAAGAAAAGAAAAACCCTAACATTTGCAATACAAAGACGGTATATTTTGATACTCTAATTTTCGTATAATATTCTTATTTCGTTGGAATGCGCAAATTATCTTTATGAAAAAATAAAGAATTGAATAAATAAAAAACAATAAACGAAACCTTTTGAAAAACTCGAAAGAGATCTTGAAAGAACACATATTCAAATGGCAATTATTACAATCAATTACACCACTCCGTATGGACAAGCTGTGTGTCTTGAAGTTGAAGGAGGTGCAAAGACTTATCTTTTGAATTACATTGATAACAACACATGGCAAGGAGCAATCGACTTCCAAATAAAGGGAATAGTCAAGTACAGATATGTGGTGTGTAAATCGGATGACAAGAGCATAATCTACACAACAGAAAAGTCGAAAGTTGCTTACACACATGTTATTGACACAACCAATTTCGACCAATTTGAAAGAATTGAAATCAAAGACGTTTTTGTCTCTGGACTAGGATCTGAAGACACCTTTTTGGCGACTTCATACTTCAGAAAAGTGATCTATGGAAAGCGCCCCATAGAAAACTTAGAGATCAAAAAGCTTGGAGAAAAGACTCTTCTTTTAAAGGTACGATGCACTTGTGTACCAGAAGGACAATGCGTCTTTGTTGGTGGAGCTATTGAATCCCTTGGGAAGTGGAATGTCCATGGGGCTGTCCGAATGACACCAACACAAGTACCCCTCTATGAAGCACTTGTTGATATATCTGGACAGAAAAATCCGTTTGAGTATAAATGTTTTATTGCAGACACAAACACACGAGCAAATGCAAGATGGGAGGAACGAACAAATCGAGTGTATCAATTTCCTTTGGTAGAACCAAAGGATCTCAAAGCAAGCAAAGAACACAAAGATGTTTTGATAATCAAAGAAGATGAAGACTTTGGTGGGTTGTATTATAGAGGAGTTGGTGTTGTTACTCCAATCTTTTCTTTGAGGACAAGAGAATCTTGCGGATGTGGGGAGTTCTTGGACATCATCAAGTTGGTTGATTGGTGTAAGAAGACTGGAATCTCATTGATTCAAACCCTCCCCGTGAACGACACCACGGTGTACTTCACATGGAGAGACTCTTATCCATATAATCCCAATTCAGTTCAGGCGTTTCATTTGATCTATTTAAGACTAAGTGCTTTGACTGATGATAAGGCGATCTTAGCTGAAATTGGTCAACAAGCAGAGAAGTTAAATCAGTTGGCTGAAATTGACTATGAAGAAGTGATGAGAGTCAAAGAGGAGATCTCACGAAAGATATACAAGACGTGTGGAACTACACAGAAAGGGTTTGAGGAATTCAAAGAGAGCACAAAAGATTGGTTGTTGCCCTATTGCATCTACAGAACTTTGATTAAATCCGTCGACACCCCACTCCCTCCAACTCCAAAGGATTTTGCTGAAGTGGAAAAAATGTATGAAGCACACAAAGAAGAGTGCAACTATTATGCCTTTGTTCAATACAATTTGCACCTCCAATTGAAAGAGGCTTCTGAATATGCCGCGACGAACAAAGTCGCTTTGAAAGGCGATTTGCCAATTGGGGTCTCGAAGAGATCAGTGGAGTGTTGGATGCACCCGGACTTGTTCCATCTCGACAAATCGACTGGTGCGCCACCCGACTATTTCTCAGCTGGTGAAGGACAGAACTGGGGATTCCCAACGTACAACTGGGAGAACATGGAAAAGGACAATTACGCCTGGTGGAAGGGAAGACTTTCTCAAATGGCGCAGTACTTCAACGCATATCGAATTGACCACATCTTGGGCTTCTTTAGAATTTGGAGTATTCCAGCCCAACACAGAACAGGCTTATTAGGAAGATTTAACCCAGACTTGCCATTCACTCGAAACGAATTAGAAAAATATGGACTCTTTGATACAGACAGACTGAGCTATCCATACATCAGAGACCACACACTGGACGCCCTCTTTGGAGTCGAAAAGGGATTTGTGATCAAGAAATTCTTGGTGAGTAACAACAGAGGAATCTATGGCATTAAACCCGAATTTCAAAGCGAGAGTGCGATATTGGATGTGAAGGGGTTATGTCCAGAGATGCGAGCGTCAGACAAACGCATTATCACTGGCATGAAGTTGTTGTTACAGAACGTTTGCTTGCTCAGAGATGAGAACGACTCAAATTTGTTTTACCCCCGAATCGATATGCAGAAAACGTATTCAAGCTTCAACGAGTTGAACTATTGGGAACAAGAGAGTTTGAAGAGGTTGTACACAGACTATTTCTATAAAAGACATGAAGGACTCTGGGAAGCAACTGCTAGAAAAAGGCTCCCAGCTATGGCAAGAGCTTCAAACATGTTAGTCTGTGGTGAGGATCTTGGGATGGTCCCGGATTGTGTTGTCAAAGTGATGAATGATATGAAAATCGCATGTTTAAGAATACAACGACTGACTGATGTGCCAGAGAAACTGTTTTATCACCCAGCAGACTATCAATATTTAACAGTGTCTGCACCCTCTGGGCACGACATGTCAACAATTAGAGGGTGGTGGGAAGAAGACAGAGACAAGACTCAATACTTTTGGACCCATTTACTTGGAAAAAGTGGCGCTGCACCATTCTCATGCCCAACAGAAATCGTTAAGACAATATTTGACATGCACTTGTATGGTCCAGCAATGTTGGCTTGTTTCCCGTTGCAAGATATCTTGTCCCTTCGATTGAAATATATCGAAGGAAGAGATCCAAAATTGGAACAAATTAATGACCCCTCGAATCCAATTCATTACTGGAGGTACAGGTGCCATGTCGATTTGGACGATATATTGTCGGATTATGAACTTAACACACTTCTTAGCGGAACTATTTTCGCGTCCGGAAGACACCAATTTTAAATGAACTTTCATTGACTATTTTTATTTTTTCTATTTTTGGTTTTATTTAGTTTCTTTCTGTGAGTTTATAGTTAAAAGTGTTGTAACACGTTTCAGAAAGACAAAATAGAAACAAGAAGCAATTTTACTCAGTGGCAGACGAAGCGTCGCGATTTTTCAAAAGCGAGTGTATTGCCTCGCTGACACTTTCAGTCGAGAAAAAGATCAAATTTGAAAGGCACCATTCCTCGATTTCATCAATGGCGAATTTGGTCACGATAAAATCGTTTGTCTGGTATGTCGATAAGTTTTTTACAAACCGTTTGTTGACAATTTTCATAAACTCTTTGTAGTATTTTACGTTCCCGGTCGAGCACATGTCTTGTTTAGCCTGAAAAAGTTCTTCCTCAAATTTTTGAGTTACATCCTCGTTGATCAAGCCCTTTGTCTTGAACTCGATTGTGCATTCTTTGATAATTTTGTCCAAACGAAGAACAACACATTGGGCGGCTTTCTTGCTTTGGCGCATGATCAAATTTTCGACAGCTGAAATCACCCCTCCAATCTCACCAACCACCTTTCCAACTGTGATGATGTCGTTCAATCCCATTTTGTCGTCTTTCACGAGATTCTTTCTCACACCCAATAGACACCCCAAAAACAAAACTTCATTTCCATTACATGACATTTTCTCAAACGCCTCTCTCACCATCAGGACTCGCCCGTCTCGACACGAATCCGAAATTATCTCGATAACTTTTTCAACTCTCCGTTTTTTAAGATCCTCCTCAACCCGCTTTTTTTTCAACTCCGCCTCAGCTAGTTCCTGTTCGTCCTTTTCATCGTTGACTCTTATCACGTCCCGCGCCAAAACCTCTGCAAACAAAATATTTTCGATATCATTTTTGTCTCCTTTCCTTCCAGGGGTTGGCGGACAAGACGTTGTTGCAACTTTCTTAGGTTGGCACTTTTTGTCAGTTTTTGCAGCCACAGCTCCTTTTCGGGGGTTAACCTCCTTTTCTTCTTTTTGCACATCAGAGCCACTCTCGTTATTCACAGAATCTTTTGACATCTTCAAAGAATCATCGAACCTTGAAAGTTGATTCCAGTTGTGGTCTGTAACATCACCTTCCACTTTAACAACACGGCCGCCACAAAACCACTTCCAACCATCTCCTTCCTTTTTGAGCAACACAGTCCCTTTTGATTTTTCGTTTGCAAACTTGATGTGAAATTTGTTTGAGTGCTTGCAAAGCACTTTCATGACTACGCCGTCCGTGAGTAGTGTCTTTCCTTCTGTCACAGCCCCGGTAACAAATTCTTTTCCTCTGTTCCAAGGAAACAACCCTTTCCTCCACTTCATTGTACATTTCTGGGAGATAGGGCAATCGAATTGTACTCTTCGAATACAAATCTCATAGCACCTGTAACTCATTGCTCCTTTAGCTCCCCTATTTTTGCTCTCTTCTTTTCTTTCGTTCCGCACTTCATTATATCCCTCACATTGTCAATCCTACAAAAAAACAATCTCAAGATTGATTTTCGAATTATAATTTATAAACTAATAATTATAAAATTAAAAATAGATTATATAAACTATAGTACTATACTATAGTACTATAGTTTAAATATTTTTTCTAATATAAATCCTATTAAATAGTATTTATTTAAACTATACTAACCAATAATAAAAAACCAATCAAATCAAGTCTGGGAGTGGATTGAGAGCGTCTGCGACATACTTCACGAACAAAGCCTTTCTATAGTACCCATCGAGGGTTTCCAAGTGTTTAGTATTTAATTCCTTCATTCTTTGCAGACTTTTCTTCAACTGTTCGTCGAGTATATCTTCCAACGTCCACTTCATGAAAATGGCTTCCATCACAATTTGGGCGACCGCCATAGTGACATTTCTTTCGTTCCACTTTCTCGCAAACTGATAAAACTTCTGCCCCAGTGTCGCGTCCCAGTCGCTAATCGCCTCTTTCACATCGCAATGATAGCAACAGTTCAACGCTTCTTTTGGTAATCCCAACTCCACACAGATACGTAACGCCTCTTTCCACTTCCCGCTACGTGTTAAATTCATCAACTTCTGACTTAACATGATTTCCTGTTCTCGCGTCTTAATGCGCTCTTGAACGACTTCCTTGGACACATCTCGAATCAAAGAGACAAATCCACCATCTCCACACACGATGAATTCTTTATTATATCCCTCTATATCCCAAAGTCGGGAAGTATTGGTATCCAACGTCTGAACATTCTCTCCACTCTTGATCGTCCATAAGCGGGTCGTCCCATCGTTCCCAACGGAAAGCACTTGAACTCCTTTATTCACAAAAATGGCCTTTTGAACTCCACCGTTGTGCCCTTGGAACGTTTTTAAGGCAGACAAGGACTTCACGCTCCACATGCGAATGGTACCATCAACAGAGGACGTCATCACCACCTGTTCAATCGGTGAAAAATCAGCAGAAACAACTGCACGGGTGTGTCCTTTTAAGATGCCTTGAAGCGCATAGTTCTGCTTTGGTACCCACAACTTCGCAGTCTTGTCTGCCGAACAGGAGACCAAATATAAATCCTTTTTGGAGTATTTTAAGTATTGGATCTCTTTGGAATGAGCTGCAAAAGCATCCAGTTGTTTCGCTTGAGTATCATTGTATTTATAGACTTTAATAAACTTGTCGTTCGACCCCGTCGCAAATGAATTCTTCGACATGGAATGTGCAATTGCAGTGACGGGACCACTATGCGATTCAAACGAATACAACTCTTTCATAGTGAGAACATCCCAGACAGATACATACCCATCGTAATACCCAACTATTAAGCGATTCTTGTCTTTGGAAAAATCACAACACATGATAGTAGCTTCATGACCATAATACATTTTGGAGGTATGAGTGACCAAATCTCTTAATTCAAGTGCGTTGGAATTGTTCACTAATAACACGTGCGTTGCGTGCAAACTGTTTTGTGGAACTTCCTTCTCTTTTTCTTCCTCTTCTTCTTCCGCTTTCAATTCTTTTGAATCACTCGATGACTCCGAAGACTCCACTTTATTCTCAAAAGTAAGTGGAAGGCAATAGATGACAGAGTCTCGATCAAAACAGTCATAATTGACGACTTCACCACTAAACGAATAAAAGATGAAGTATCCATCATAACTGACGTGGATCAGAGTATCGGACGTGAGTAACAACGTGTTTGGTGAAAGTAATCGTTGGTCCTCTCCACTCTCCCAGCATATCTTATTCTCCTTTAAGAAGTAGATCTTGCCGTCAGTACTGGCTATCACATACTTTTCTCCAATAAATTTGATTAATAAAGGATCGGGGATCATCACCGTCTTACTCGGCTTCTTTGTTTTCATATCCCAATATATTAAGGCTTTGTCTTTCCCAGCAGAGACCAAATTGTAGTCCTCATCAAAACACATCGAAACGACTCCGTTCAAATGTCCGAAGAAATCCGCGGACTTCTTAGTCATCAAATTGAATTGTCTGATATTCTCGATGTTATCTGACGCTGCGTAGACGTAAAAATTGTCCTTGTTAGTATCGTCGAAAAGAAGGGACGTCACAAGTCCATGTGAGAATACCAAGACGTGCGTGAAGTACTTGTTTTCCAAGTCATACACTCGGACATATCCATCATTACTCCCCATCGCAATGAACATGTTAGAAAAACTGAAGCAAAGAGATACAGTGACTGGTGACGTTAACGCAGACACTTTAGGAGTCTATATGTTACTTCCAGTTGTGACCAAAACAGTACCAATGAGTGTTCGAATGGGATAGACAAACCTTTATAATCATTATTTGGGTTCGTGGGATATCAAGGTCATAGATATAGATCAACCCCGAAGCGTAAGAGACTGCTAAGTATTTGTTATTCTTCGATACGGCCGATACTATAACTTCAGTCGAATCGCCGGGGTACGTGTGTTTAACTTCGCCATGAATCGACCCAACATTGATCGTTACTCCATCTTCGGCTACCCAACACAACGTCCCATCTGTTGTTGATATGACAGACCCACCAGCATAACACGTCTTTGTGATGTCTTCTTTCGAAATCTGTTGAATCAAATTTTGTTCTTTTTTGGTTGGGATGACCTCCATATAGGGTTCTTCTGGTTTTTTATTTTTTTTTTCATTTTTTTCATTTTTTTATTGTTAATACAAAAAATTAACATTTTTACTAGTAATTAATCGTATTTTGGGTTGGTTTATTTTAGTATGTTTATAATAACAACTATTTAATATTATAAATTGGTATATTATATAGATTGTCATCTTGATGAAATTAATCCCGAGATTTGATAGAGATGGAAAGAAAAAACTGATAAAGCGGAACATTTGCTGGAAAAATCGAAACTGAAAAAGAAATGAGCGACACGAAGAGCTATGTTCCTATGAATTACAAGTACCTCCAACAAGAAGGAACTATGCTCGGAATACAAATGATCACATGTAGGCCAAAGAAAACAAAGGAACCAACTCACCCACAATACAATACAGTGGGGTTGTTCCAAAGATTAAGGCTATTGTCGCATTACTCGCTGTCACATTATCTTGACATTATACCAGCCAAACACAGTTTGTTATTTGTTTGTAGTAATCTACTTAATGGATGAAAAAGTAAGCACTAACATTAGATGAGACTTTTGTATTGAGCGAAACTTATCAAAACAATTTTGAAAATTGTGTTGAAAAAGTGGACAGTTTAAACAAGATGAGGATGATACAAGACATCGTCGAAGCAACACAGTATTTGCACGAACACGATATTATTGTTGGCTATTTTAATCCTAAAAATATATATGTGACAAACACAGGAATTGTTAAGTTGGGTAATTATGCACTATATTACCTTTCAGAAGGTAATAAATACTTCGATGCTTATACGCAGTTTGTTCTTGAACTGTACTATTATTATTATATTCACTTAATTACTAAATTATAGCATTCCAACACTATCACCAGAAACAATTCTTTTAAGCACACATGAATGTACATTTGAAAGTGACGTTTTTTCTATTGGGTTGTTGTACCTTTATTTGACATTGAAATGTATTCCCTCAAAGACAAAATATATCCATTTTATGAAGTTGTTGAAAGATTTGTATGATGTACATTGTCCAACATGTGAGAAATGTAAGTTGTTTTCATGTCAAGAATTCTCATCAATGCTTTTACAATTGATTTCAACGCAATTTTCAACACAAGTCGTATTACCAGAAATCATCGTAGCTTGTCTCTCATCACCAGAAACAAGACCAACAACCAAAACTCTGTTATCGAACCAAATATTTTCTGCCTTGAGACCAGACGTTCAACCAATTTCAAATGAACGTCTGGAATTGTTGAATTTCAGTTACAATGCACCGAAGTGCTACATGACATTGCGTGAAATACTACACGAGATGTGTTACTTCAAAACACTTTCAATTGATGTCTCAAAGAAATATGTTGATATCATTGGGGAGACATTTGGGGTTATGAAGAAATATCCCATTTTCGACATTGAAACGTACATCCCAATTACAACAGATCTGACAACCCAAGAAGTCAAAAACGATTTTTCAATATACTCGATTGATGTCACAGACGTTGTTAACTACTCATTCGATGTTGACGAAGAACTGGGTCGGCTCGACAGCTCGGAAGCGCTCCGAGGAGCTCCAGATAAACAACCACAATTTGTTACATTCTTGACTCAACAAATAACAAGTCTATCGGAGTCTTTTAACCCCCAGTCCGCAAATCAACAAGAAGTGATACGGCACCACAGACTGTACCACGCCTATTTTAGATATTTTGCGCGATACTCAGTGAACGACCCAAGAGCAGCCATGAATATGTTACACAAAGTGAAACGAATTGCTCAGAGTTTCGTCCCCGAGTTTTTGAGACTTCCAGTGTGGATGTTGTTGCTTGGAATAGACATTAACGAGAGTTACACGTTATACGCAGAGCGGTCCAAGGATGTTCCACTTGTGTTGACAAACAAAGACATCACAGAGAATACCCGAGTTATTGTGGAGGATGTCAACAGAGCGTTTTCGACCGTTCCGTTAATCGCAAACGAAATCACCAGAAATCAACTGAAACGGGTTTTGTACTCTTTTTTGCAATCTGGTGAAGAGTATTGCCAAGGTATCCACTCCGTCTGCGCCGTGTTCATTTCGTTGTCATTCAACGAGGCTATTTGTTCGGAGTGTTTGCACAGATTTGAGGCAGACTATGTCAGACAGTACTCGCCAGAGAAGTTTAGAATTTACTTCACTCGATTTTGCCAGTTGCTTGCCTTTTATGGGCCTAAAGTCGCGCCAAAAATGAGTTTCATCAAAATTGAAAATTCAACAGCGATTCGGTGGTTCTTGCCGCTGCTCTCACTCTCGATGAAAATGTCGAGCATTTATCAATTGTGGGACTGGATCATGCAGAACCAGAAATCTGCCAAGTTCATGTTCTTCTTGATTGCTTTTGTTTTGTCATGCGAGTCAACCATCCTTACATTCAGCGATCCGTTCGATCTTATTTTGTACTTTAATAAAGTCGAGTTTGACTCAAGCGAAGTGATTGAGCAGTGCAAATCGCAGTTCCAAAACTTGATTTCTATTTCCCCACTGAGTTACACCGAAAATGTAATATCACCAACACACCCCGCACGAAGTGAGATATATGCAAGTTTGGCAAATAATGCCATCGACGAAGGAAATATGTGTGTTGTGCCATTCTTGGACAAGTCTGACCTCCAAAACACGTTATACAAGTCGTCGTCGTTGTACATCGATATGAGACCAGAAAATACAAATCCGAAGACAATTACTGTCAATTCGTTAAGAGTGACATTCACCAAAGAAGAAGATGTGGTCAACGAAGTTTCGAACTCACTGAGAAGTTTGTTCCAGTCATATCCACCATTTGTTGTCCTTATCAGTGATTGGAACGAGAATGATGTTCAAAACACGACTTCTGTATACAAAAACATGATGGTTGTTGCGAATGGGTTAGTCAAAAACGAGTTCATTCATGTGTGTATGAGTGCTGTGCCATTCCACTCACTAGAAAGTATGTTCTTTACAACAAACACAAACAGTGCGGTTAGGGTTGATCATGACGTTGATAATCAAGAAGTGGTTTAATTACTTTCATTTTCTCGGCAAAAGTTGGATTTTACAAATTAAACAAAAATGTGGATCAATAAATGGAACAAAAGATACCTCTTTTATTCTTTATATAGAAAAACAGATCCAGTTATTTTTTTCTTAATATAGAAAAAAATTTAAATGAACTATTTCCGTATTTTAAAAGTACAAAGTGGTTTTTTATTATAAAAGACGTAATCGCCTCAACTTAGACAAGAAACTGGATTGTTGTTTTTTCTTTTCAAAAGGCAGTGTTGTTTTGAAGTCAAAAAATGAGTGTTCGAATTATTAAATAAATATAAATCTTGACTTCTGACCTTTAAGTTATGGGATGTGCTTTTTCAAAACAGGCTTGAAAAATCGGGAAGATTGGGTAATTTAATAAAAACATGAAAAATGGATTATTTTATAATCGGAACGGAAGTCAAATTAAATTGTATTTATAGTAGTTCATAACAAAATGCGAAAAAACCAATTGTTTGGGGATTTTGTTCTTTCTCATTGCTAAATTGAACTACAATAGAGTAAAACAATGTTATTGGAACTTATTGCACTTGTTGTAGTAGTGCAATCCAATGATTGTTGGAGTGTTATTGGAGACAACACATTGACATATGGCGATTATCCAAAGTGTAACAATTTCCTCGGGCATGGTCTTGTGATTACAGAACAACCCAATAAAGACACGGTCATTTTGAGCTCAGGATGCTGCTTCGATAACAAAAATTATTATAAAGTCCGGACAGGACCAATAAACACAAGAAATGTTGATGTGTTGTTTGAATTCACATCTAACATCAGATATTTGTTTATCATTTCTGATAATCAAAGACAGAAATTTACTTTCTTTTTGTATGCAGAACATCTAGTGACTGTGTTTTTTGATCGAACAATTCCATATGACACTGATATGTATGATGATATAAATGTATTTGAAAATCCAGCTATATACAACTGCAAGAAATACACATCCTTTCAACTCGTTTTCAACAGATTTGTGAGACCGTATTTGTATTTTTTATTAGAAGAGAATGTGAACTATTCAAGAAGAATCAAAGTCAATACAGAAGAGTATTATTTCCAGGGATGTAAATATGCGTTCAACGCGGATTCTGGAATTGAATACACTTTGAAAAGAAAAGAAGAAAAGTTGGTTGAGGTTTGTAGAATTGGAAATTTTAGTAGATATATGACATGTTCATCTGAAAGTGTGGTTGAACAATTCTCTGATTGTCGGTGCTATGCCCAAACAAATTTATATGTTGCATCGCTTAAAGATGTTGGTACAAATTACCCAGACTGTCTTTTCAATTCTTCTTTATTTGATTTCATTATTTTGTCTCAGCAAACGAATATGGTATTTGATGTCGAAAATGCATCAGTTTGGCGGTCATTAATATTTGAAGACACGGTTACTCCAATTACAATTATCAATCCAACAAAATTGACTTTCACTGGTAAAGTTGTTTTTCCCAAAGTACCTCTGGTATTTTCAAATGAAATACATATCAATGAAATAGTGATACCATCATTTCCATCAGGAGGTTTACATCGACTCTCGAATGCAACAATTGACAAGATCACAGTGAGTTATCAAAGTGATGACGCAATTTTGTTCCTTAGTAATCCACTTGACAGAGAGTTTCCTGGAATTAAAATTGGTTGTTTGAATGGCAAGATGAGTAGGTATGTTTCCGAGAATTCAAAAATTGGTTGTAATTGTCATTTTAAAAATGGAGTGTATAATTTTGCTGATTGTGAAGAAGTTGGAAAAAGTGACAACAAGTACACGCTTGTCATTGAAGACAAGGAGACTTATTTCAGAAGATCATATTGGAAGGAAATCACATTTGGGAATTCAGTTACTATAAAACGTTTTGTCAGTGCAGAGAAGTGCATCGTGAATGGATTTTTATATCTTAAAGGTTCTTTACAATGTGATTTGTTGATATGTACAACAAATTGTAGAGTTGTTGTAGATGTTGGTGGTGTGTTATTGGTTAACAGTATTAAAACCACTGGAATACAATTAGTTATAGATTTCGCGGATTACACAATCTTTAATATTGAATATGTGGAATTAGCCGGAACATTAGTGATAAATAAAGCATTGACTATTATTACACATCTTAAGACATTGGATAACACTCTTTTTGATAATTTTATGAGTCTCCAAATTGACTTGATTGAATTGGGAAGTATTATACAAATAGTCAGCACCAAGACCGTTGTAATTGAAGAATCAACAAATAGTCACAGAATTGATGTAACTGCACAAAAGTTTATTACTAACATAACAAAATGCACATTGGGGTTTGTTAAAGTGGAAACACCAATTGAAATTGGTACCCATGTTGAAACTATTTGGATAGACACCATAGACAATGCCAAGTATCCATATGTCATTCCTTTTGCTAAATTGTCAAGGTCCGAAAAACCGATTTCTATCATGAATGCACCTACTTTAACAACAAGACAAAATGGCTTTTACACACTTACAAAAACAAGAAAAGTGCAGTTCACTTCAGACAGTGGTCTCAATTTGTTTTGTGACGGACAAATCCTTGTAGTTGGTAAAACGGAATCAAGAATGTGTAAGGACACTTTGTTGATGACTAAAGTGTGTTCACCACAACCAGATGGAAGTTATAAAGATGAAAATGGCGATGTGGATTATTCATGCCCAACAAATTCAACTTCGTTGGTATATTCGACCCTTTTACTTGATTCTGTTATGAGATACGATATTAGCGACAACGAGTCATATGATATAATAACTGTTGAGAAACAATGTATAGTTGGTGTGAATAACAAAGAATTTGCGTTGCAGTCGAAAGAAGTTGTTGTGATAAATGGAAATAATAACACAATACGAATTTACTCCACAAAAACAGAGATAATAGCGACAGGTAAAAACATCTTTTATGTCAATCCAGGTTATGGTATTGAATTATTTTCTGGTTCCATTTTCTCAGTGGAAGATGGTAAATGTCATGTAGCTTATATTGATCAAGCAACATACAAATGCCTTGAATGTGGATTTTACAAACAAGATGGTAAATGTCAAAAGAGAGACTGGGTTGACAGGAATTGTTTAATGTTGGACAAATTTAGCGGGAAGTGTCTTAGATGCCAAGAAAACATGTATTACTCCACGATTAAAAAAAGGTGTGATTATTGTGGACTATATTGCAAAAATTGTAAGAGCAGTACTTATTGTGATGTATGTGAAGATAATTATTTAATGGTTGACCGCCAATGTTATCCAAAAAATAAGTGTGAGATGTCATCGAACAACAAATGTTTGAAGTGCTCTCCCGGACAAGAAGTGAGTAAAGACTTATCTTCATGTGAAAAGGAGTGCAGTAATGGATGTAAGTCATGTTCAAATGATGAATGTCGAATTTGTAAAGTGACAGAACATTACATAGACTATGGTGAAAAATGTGATTTAGTACCCGAAGCAACATTTCTGAGCAATTTCAAAGTGATTGAATGTAAGATGGGCTTTTATTCGAATAACACAAACTGTGTGGAGTGTCCAGACCAATGCACCATATGTGAGCATGATTTCGATACAAGTGTAGTTGCATGTAAAAGGTGTAAAAATGGTTATGTAATTTCGAATCAAAAGTGTGTTGAAATGAAGTCAATTGGATGTTTAAAACAAAGACTGAGCAAATGCATTCAATGTGAAATTGGTAAGTACTTTGATGACAAGACTTGTGTGAGTTGTGGCTCAAAATGCAAAGAGTGTAGCAACAACGGAGAGTGTCAATCGTGTGTTAAAGGGTATTATCTTTGGAAAGCAACTGATATAAACCCAATTCCATCATGTAGAAATGTTCCACAAGACTCAATGTGTGACAAATTTGTTGACGGAATTTGTATCACGTGTAAGGCTAAATTTTATTTGAATGATACCAATGATTGTAGTCCTTGTTATTTTTCGTGCAAACGGTGTACAAAAAGTGAGACATGGACTTCTGGAAGTTGTTATGAATGTGAAAGCGAATATGCTTTGGTGAACAACTCATGTGTTTCAATATTATCATCATCCCCACATTGTAAGCAAACTGTTCCTTCATCAAAAACAGAATGTGCAATATGTGATCAGGGTCATTACAGAGATGAAACACGTTGTGTGGGATGCATAGAAAGCTGCAAAAAGTGTTTCAATGGTAAAGAGTGTGTAGAGTGTTACTCTCCATTTTTCTCCAATGAAACTTCAAAATGTGAATTGTCTTCAAATTTGTTTGGATGTGCAGAAGTGGGTCGAAATGGATGCAAAAAATGTGAAGATGGATATTTTCTAGAGAACATCCGGTGTGTTAATTGTTCTTCACTTGTAGAACATTGTAAAGAGTGTCATAATGCTACTTTCAAATGTTTTGGATGCGAAAATAATTACGTTTTACTCTCGGACAAATGTGCATTTTTTAGTGTTATCGATAACTGCATTTCTGCTGTAAATTCACATTGCAACAAATGCACATTCTGGTATATCATCAATCCTTATACATTCAATTGTGATCAAGAAGTCTCATGGTGGATGATTCTCATCATATTTGTTCTATCCTTTGTGACCTTTATAATCTTTTTGTTGATAGTGGGGTATTTCATCAACAGAATTGTTTTCAGAATAAAAATGTGTATATATAAAAAGAGGGAGCAGCGTCAATACGCACATTTTGATACACGTTACTCAAACATTTTATGGAAAGAAATAAGTAAACAATCTGTTATAGGTGTGAACAAGACAGTTCTCCGGTTTGATCTTGAAGAACAACAACAGATACCTGTTGGCAGTTACACACGAGACCTGTTATGCATTGGAAATATACGAGGCAAAAAGTCGATTATCATATCCTTTGTTGGTATTGAAAACGAGTCGTGCAAATTTACGGTTGAGACCCAACCCAAGAATCCCGTATTAAAACCAAAAGAGGGGTGTGAAATTGAAATACTATTAAAGCCTTTTTGCACATGTAAAATACGAAGTAGTTTGGATATAATCATCGATGACTTAGCGTCGGGCAAACGAACAACGGAAAAAGTTCGAATTGAAGTGCAAACTGAAGTAACCACACATATTGACCCTTGTGAACTGATCAAAGAGAAACGAATTGGTTCTGGTTCTTTTGGGATTGTATTTCTGGGGTATTACAGAGGCAACAAAGTGGCTATTAAATATGCCCGGAACATCACAGATGACTCAAAACAGTTTTCCGAATTTGAAAGTGAGGTAGCAATGCTTGACAAATTTCGCTGTGAATTTATCATTCACTTCTATGGCGCCGTTTTCATCAAGTCGCAAATATGCATTGTCACCGAATTTGCCGAATTTGGTTCTCTAGAGGATGTGATTATCAGAAAAAACTCTTCGGAGTTATCCAATTACTTTAAGTTGAAAATAATGATCGACGCACTTCGTGGAATCGAGTATTTGCACCTGAATGGTATTCTACACAGAGACATCAAGCCAGACAACATCTTAATCATTTCCCTCGATAGAGAAGCTAAAGTGAATGCCAAGTTGACCGACTTTGGCACTTCCAGGAACATCAACCGCTTGATGACGAATATCACATTCACCAAAGGTGTTGGGACACCAGTGTACATGGCGCCCGAGTTATTAAATGGCGAGAAGTATAAAATGTCCGCGGACATGTATTCCATAGCAGTGACGATGTTTGAATTATTCAAATGGGGTAATGCATATTCAGAAAAGTACTTTCCATACCCCTGGAATGTGGTCGACTTTGTCTGTTCTGGTGGTCGTTTATTAAAGCCCGACAAAATGGATCAAACCATCTTTGACATTATTTCTAAAGCTTGGTCGCACAACCAAGCTGAGCGTCCAAAAGTGTCCGACCTTATCCTCCAACTTGAATCAATCAAAACACAAAAAAATGGACTTTGACAATATTTAAACCCTTAAATACACAAATCATCTAATTATTATTATTTCTTCTTAACTTCGCTTTAATTCGCGCGTCCGCAGAAGTCTTTTTAATAGCTGTTTTAGTCACTTGCTTCGTTGATGTAGTTGTGATGTGATTGTTATATTCAATTTTCTTGGTCGCATCAAGTAGTGCTTTCTTTGTTGTTTTCTCCTGTTGTTTGTCTTCGTCTGCCTCCTTTTCATCTCTAAGAAGTGCACTTGGCTCTTCTTCACTCTTTTCAAGGTCTTTTGGGGTCGGTTTAGTCTTCACTCTTGTGCTTACACTTCGCTTCTTTGGTTCAATTTCACGTTTTTCGTCTTCTTCCAATTCGATTTTGACATCGGTGTAATTCGTATTTTTCTCATACTTCTCATACACTGTTTTCATCACTTCGTCAAACAACTTTTCACCACGTTCTTTCTCAGACTCATCGACTTTCTCTCCGTCTCTCTCATCCTTTCCATCGTCATTTAAATTCACCGTCTCCATCTTCTTTTCTATCAACTCAGTGGCTACATTAGTCATGTCATCAACACACTTCGTCACCATTTGTCCAACCCCCAAATGAACACTATTCATCTCAACACGCCGAAGACATACAGAGATCTCTTCAGGTCGAATCACCTTCACAGAGTCTCCCGAGTTCAACTCCTCTTTCACTAACGTTTCCATACTGACGTCCTTCGTCACTCCTTCATTCTTGACATACCGTTTGACTCGAACAAAGTCGGTGATGTTAATAACTGTATCGATAAATTCTGAAGATATTTTGACTAAGTCCGGATACACGGGAGGCGAGTTGAAAAACAAGACCTTCATCATGACTTTCTCTTCATCTTCCAAATCAAGTTCTTCGACTATGCCTCGCAATTTCGTTTTAACGTACTTCCCAAAACTACTCGCCGACTCGGGACCCTTATAATCGGCTCTGACGTTGATTTCCTTTTTAATCATTTTGTGCTTTGGAGCTATCGGCACAAACTCCGGTCTCACGTCCATTCCATTAATAGTTACTTTTATTATTCCTTTTTCTTTCTCGTTGTACTCATCATAATTCATGAAGAACGGTGCGCCCGGATACAAAAAGAAAGTCTTTTCGTGGTGTTCTATAGCTTTTTGAGGCGAGTGAATCCCTCCAAAGATCACCACGGAAAACAACTTATAGAACTTGTCGAGTTTATCACTCTTTAAATTTCCTCGAGGGACATGAAGTAACAAAAGAGTCACCCACTCCCCTGTAGGCTTTTTTAATTTAAAATCGTCCTCAGTTACTGCATCAATCAACTGATCCGCTGTTCGAAAGGTAAGACCATATAAAGCTACTTGTGTGGTTCCCGTTGAAAATAAGACTGGACTTAATACTCTCTCTTGCTTGATATCTTTGTTTAAGTAATTCACTAACCCACACGCGGAAAGAATCTCAACTCCCGAAGTTAAACATTTCCCACTCGGCTCATCTTGTATACCATGGATCACAAAAAATGGATGTGAAACGTTGATGTATGGATCATCTATGTTTAAAAGATAAGGTAAATGACTACAGTCTTTCACTGTATAGGGAAGATCTACATTACCTAGACAGTTGGTCTTTATCAATGAGGACGCATGCGCTACAGCAAATTTGGTTGGTTGAAGGTCATTAAATAAATCCCCAGCGTGAAGTAAAATGGAACCGGCATCGGCAGTCGAAGTCTCTATAAACTTGGAAAATGAATAAATAGAGTCGTCCTTTAATGTTTGATGCCGTTCATTCCAACCAAGGTGACTATCAGATGTGGAGTAAAAGGTCAAAGACATCTTTTTTAGGAGTTCTAATATCTTTATTTACTATTTATTAATTATTAATTATTAATTATTAATTATTATTATATTACTAATATATAAAAATAATAATAATAAAAATGGTTTGATTAAAAATTGAGGTTTAATTTCGTATTGTTTTAACTTTTTGTTCAGATCAAAAAAAAGTGATTTTTAAATAAATAAAATTATTTAAAAAATTAATTAATTTTTAATTATAAATAAAATTGGATTAATATGTTAAAAATACTATTATTTTATTATAATTACCTATAAAAATGAGAAGAGTTGATTATATATTAGAATATTGTATATTATTTTTGATTATTCTAATTTATACTTATTTGTTAATCAATTAATTGTTATATAAACAACCATACTATGTTGTACTGTGAAACATATGGATCGAACAGTAAATGTTTATAACAAAGTTTACATAACATACAGACATTGTTATCTTTCATAATCAATTATATCTTCAATTGAAAGGTTGAAATCTTTTGTTTTTGACTTATAAATTAAATTTTTAGTTATTAAATGGTAACTAGAATATAATATAAATTAATTAATAATTAAACCACTGATTGAATTATCAAAATTAGAACAAAGAATATTCAATGGTTAAAATTAATGGATGTGGCCTCACATCAATCCTTAAATATGTCCTTTCAGAATGTGATTACAAGACACTTTCACTTGTTTCAAAACGGTTTTTGTTGGGAATAATGGCAATGTCGGAAAACCCTATTTCGATCAATTCCACACAATTGTTTAATAATTTAACCGCATTTCATTTATACAAACGGAACGACAAACCAATTGGAGACGTGCAAAAAATCGTTGTAGAATACCCCATTTCTTATTCAGAAAGTTTACAAACAAAGCACCAGTACAGACAAATACTATTAAAATCACAAGACCTCAAAAAATTGACTGTTGAACAACTTTTTACAACACCAAACGTAACACACATTGCTCCTTATTGCTTTTCCCATATCACAACAATCCAAACACTTATTGTTTCTTCTTCGGTTAAATACATCGAAAGTTTTGCATTTGACAAACTTTCCTCGCTCAAGTCAATTGAGTTAAATTACACACTTTGTGGTGTTGGCAAACATGCGTTTAGAGGAACTACCCCCAGTCTAGTGTTTCATGGAGATTTGTGTGTTGCAAACCTACCACTGTTTCTTTCAAAGCAATTGTCTTGTTTACTTAGAAACCCAGAATTTACAAAAGATGATCTGGCCTATTCAATTAAAACCACTCAAATAAACGACTGTTTTGTTATACCAAGTGAGTGTAGTTCAATTGGTGTGGACTGCTTTTATGGTTCAAAATACTCGGAAATTGTATTGCCGTCCTCCATTTCGTGCTTATCTATCAACGCATTCAGAGACTGTGTGAATATCAAGAAATTCAAAATGCCAAATTCAATTTTTACACTTGGGTTTGACTGCTTTTTTGGGTGTTCTAATTTGATGGAAATCAAACTCCCCAAAACAATTTTTAGTCTTCCAACTGATTGCTTCAGAAATTGTTTTTCTCTTTCGAGCGTCAAATTACCAGAAAGCGTCACTTGTCTGGGAAGAAGTTGTTTTGAGAAGTGTTATTCTCTGTTTTCAATTGTGTTACCAGAGACTGTGGAGTTGTTATGTCAAAGTTGCTTTGAGTTGTGTACTTCCTTAAACAATGTGGTTTTGCCCAATAACATCAAAGAAGTTGCCAATGGTTGTTTTTATGCGTGTTCTTCTTTGGTCGATATTAAAATCCCTCAAGAGTTGTCTAAATTTGGTCATTTTTGTTTTGGAAAATGTCCATTGCGACAAAAACCGAAATTAGCAAAAGAAAAGTGTTTTTCAATGCGATAAAAAATGATTGGTATTTACTCTATTTTTATAATAAAACAACTATAATGAACAATTTAAAAGACAATTCATTTAATATTTCAAATTCCGAAATTTATTAAATTTTGAGTTCTTCAGAACTCAAAATTTAATGCAACTTGTATTACTAGTTGTAACACTATTTCTTTGCACTAATGGGCGACTCCAAGTACTTAACTTGACAAACTTTAAAGAGGCGATAGACTCCAATGAATTGCTGTTAATCAAATTTGTTGTGAAAGAGTGTCCATTGTGCAAGGATTATACTTACGAGTTTAACCAACTTTCGATGTTCGCTCAAATTCCTTTTGGAGAAATATCATGCGATGAACCGAACGACAAACTGTGCGAAAAAGAAGGACTTAGTGTTATGCCGACGACTATTTTGTATAAGAAAGGAAAACAATTTCGAAAGATGTATGGGATGTACGAATATGGACAACTCAAGGATTGGCTCCGTGATATGTTATCTCCAGTTTATTTATTTGTATCCACTCAAAGCGAGATTCAAAGACTTTTAAACACTTCATTTGCAGTTGCCATTGTGTCGTATCAGAGTAACGACCAAGCTAAACAATATGAAACGATGATGACTGAAATAGCAGAAGAAACTAAACGATACAAACAGCAGTTTGTGTGGATAACAAACTCTTCTGTAAATTGTCCACAAATGTCTGTTCATGTTTTGGACGACAACGGTGACTTAAAAGTGTCTGAATTTGAACTTGTCTATAACAAGAGCGTGATTCTGTTTAAATCAATATTGGCGTTTGTCCCCCCTTTCTCTAAGGCAAAGGTTGTACAGAACAGTCTCGAACAGGTCGACGTCCCAGTCTTATTTTACTATTACATTTCTGCTATGACGGGTGCAACTTTCATGAAGAAGATAGCAAGAAAGTACCAACTGATTCTTCCATTTGTGACACAACAAGTGTTTGAACCCCCAAAGGGACATAACGGGAAAGACCAAAAAGTGTGGGTGTCTATTCTTCATGATATTGACGTGTATCCAATGCGCCAAAATGTTACCGAGAAACACGTCGAAGAGTTTGTTGAAGACTTTTTGCAGGGGAAAATTCGTCACGCTCGACGAGGCAGAAAAAGCACCTCCGCCTTCATGTCAAAAGTTCCTCCACTCATAACGTTGGACAACTTTGATGTGTACACTTCGCAAACTTCTGCGATTATCGTTTGTCCATTTTCCGATCGAAAATGCATCGAATACATTGATAAGGTGGTGGTCCCACTTTGCACCAAATTCAATCAGTCGAATGTCACCAATTTTCAATTTGGTGTAGTTGATATTGAGCAAGATGAAGTCGTTAATGCGGACGTCTTGCAGAGTTACCCGACACTTTTGGTGTATTCCGATGACAATTCACCTTACGTCTATGCGATAAAAAGTTACTCTGAAAAGGAGATCTTATCCGTCATACATGAGAAAGTCACTTCTCTCGATTTGGACGTGTTCCTTCAAATTCCAAAACACACAAACAAAAAGACTGATAATATTAAAATTGATTTGTAATAGTTATATAACTAATTCATTTGTTACTATTTTATAATTAAAATATCACAGAAAAATAGAACTTTGCAAACATACTATATTAATACCATACTAATACTATACTAATGTAGTACTCCCTCGTATAATAGTAGAAAGTATTTCAAAAAGTCTTAGACTTCAATTAATTTATGATATATTATAATATTTATTATAATTTATTATAATAATATGAATATCAATTGATATGCAGAGATGGAAACTATTCAAAGTAAGAAAAGAAAACTATAGAAGAACTAAACTGATAGTAAGAATAACAATGAAACAAACAGACAACACAAACGTATCGAAATTCCCCAAGTTCTTTCCTCAAAGTCGAACTTGAAAAACAAAGGAATGATAAGCGTGAAGGACGCTGGGAGTCCAAATAAGTTAGGAACGCCACGCCACCCCAATTTAATTCAAGCTGAGAAACAGGAGATGTTTGCTTTTGAGACTTTTGATATCAAGACATCCAGTCGGATACAAATTGAGGTCAACGAATATTATAAATACACTCTTCCTAAGGATTGCGTTGAGCCTGAAGGGATGCTCGGGATCATCTTTTTGAAAAACAAAGAAGCTGTGACAAAGAGTAAAATTATTAAAGTGAGTATTGACCACAGACTCATTGGAGCATTTGAGAACTACTTGAACTATATCAACGAAACGAGACCGTTTGTTAAAGACTATTCGAAAAAAGAGGCTGCGCGTTGCATTGCGGAGTTGTGTCGATTTGGTGTCCACATAAAGAAGGCGTTGAATTTTGTTGTTCCGAATGGCATGAAGAGTGAAGGGTACGACGAGATCCTCGAGATAATAGTTAAAGGGATGACCCCGGTCTTAGTCAGTACCATAATGCTGTTTGATGACAAGAGCGAGTGTAAGAAGCTCTTAGTCCCCATTTTAATGCGAACCCCTGATGATGGGATGGTCATCTCCAAACTGAAATTGTGGCTTGAGATGTCGATTGGGCGTTCGAGACATTGCACTGTTGGGTTTACTGGGGACACCTCGATGCAAGAGACATTTGGGAACACTAAGGAAGAGGAGAAGAGAGGGAAAAAGTTGAGTCACTTGACATATAAGACGGAGAAGGCGCGACGGCCATTAGTCGATACTGTGATAGACCGACCGAAGAAAATGAGTGTAGTGACGAGTGTGAAATGGGCGAAGAAGAAGTATGTGATACCTGAGAATCAAGCATTGGAAGTGTTACAAGGGTTCATAAGAGGATACTTAGTGAGGAAAGACTATGGGATAGAGAATGTTATTAAACGGAAAGAGTGTATTCAAGAATTAGTCGACACGGAACAGAACTTACATGATAATATGGTCTTGATGGAGAACTACTTTAGACAACCATTACTAGAGAGTATTGGTGGTAATAAAGGAATTGAGAAACAAATCAACGCGGTCTTTTTGACTCTTCCCCGATGCATCAAATCGTCGAAAATCTTTGTAGAGAAGTTGAAACAATCACTTGAGAAGTATAAGGTGGACACGTGCATTGGAGATACACTTAAAATGCTCCTCCCACATGTGGCGCCGTATTTGAATTTCACAACGGACTATCAAATAGCACTGTCGACGTGGAAACGCCTCAAAAAGGAGCCAAAAGTCTCGATGTTATTGAAAGAGAATTTGAAATTGAAAGAACTTGAGTCACAAACGCTCGAGTCGTTATTAATTCAACCGGTCCAACGTGTGATGAGATATCCAATGCTTATAAAAGAAATTATTAAATTGACAAAACGATCACATCCGGACTACTTCCAACTGAAAGAAGCATTCAACGAGTTTCATTTCTTCTCAACAATTGCTAATGAACGTTCGAAAATGCGAGACTCTTTACAAGAAGTTGTTAAAGAAATAGGAGACGAGGACTTGTTGAAGGATAATAGATACCATTTGTGGACGGGTAACGTCATTGCTAAAACACCGACACGCGTGTACTTGTTCAATGATATGATCATGATCTGTATCAAAAATAAGAACAAATGGATCACACAAGAAACACTCAAAATTGGAGGAGACGTCGAAGTCTTCACCGCAGAAAAGGTCGTCACCGTCAAGAAATTTAGACGACCGAAACCTATTGTACTCGAACTCGAAAACGAAGAGCTGTGCGAAAACTTCAAAAAACAAGTCGACGAAATCATTAGAGACAACTTCTTCTGCTTGTCAGATGACCAAAGCTGGATCGACCTCATGGACTTTGGAGCTACAAGAGACTTTGTCGATATCTAATTATTTACTACAAAACAACTTAATACTCACCAAACAAATTCATATTTTTTTTATCGTTGTTTTATGGTTTTTTATAGTTTATTTGTAGTTATTATGCTTTAATAACTTATTATTAATGCATAACTATTATAAAACTATATTAATTAATAATTGATTATTAATATAATTAATAATATATTATAGATTAATAAATAATTAGGATTAAACTAATAATCTAATATTAATATTAGTATTATCACTTTATGATTATTAATGAAAAAAATAGTAAAAAAAACAGAAAAAAAGACAAAAGATCCATGAAGTTATTAAGTATAGTAAAAGAAAGTAATATGAATAGAACTTTGTTAGAAAAGGAATTGATCCCAAAATGGAAAAACTCAACCAGAACTCTAAAAGTTGTGAGGAACAAAATGGTTGAAAAAAAGTGACAAGGAGACGGGAGATTAGGGATTGGGATTGGAGTTTCCCCGAACTGATGGAACAAAGGAATTGAAAAGGATCCAATTTACAAGGAAACTCGAAAATAAAGAATGTCATTTCAAACGTATTGGGGCTCGGCCCAAAATTACCAAACACCACAATTTCAACAACAGGTACAACCTCAAATCAAGCCTATTGTCCGTATCCCATACCAAACTAACCTACAACCATTTTTTTCAATACAAGACGCATGCAACGACAGTATCAGTGACGTGTCTTGGTCGATGACCGGGAACGACTCGGTCATATCAGTGTGTGGGTGGGACTCAACGGTTAGAATCCTCGCGCTGAACAATGAAAGTTCCAAATTGGCTTCGGCACTTGTCAATGACTGCCCAGTCACAAAATTGGCGACTACACACGACCCACTGACACTTTTTTTCGGTGACTCATATGGGTTTGTGTATGGATGGAACGCACAACAACAAGGAGCGTCGCAAAAGATCAGAATTGCTCAACATAAGGGTGTTGTGACTGGTCTCAAATTTTCTGCGGATTTGGGAATCATTTTATCGACGGGGACGGATGGGGTCATTCGGATCATCGACGCGAGAACATCGAAAATAGCATTTTCAATTAACTTGGCTTCAAAGATCACCTGTGTTGACCTCAAAGGAGATATGTTCTGTGTTGGACAACAAAATGGGATGGTGGGGATGTTCGACTTAAGAAACATGAGGGAACTCACGTCGAGTGTCGTCGGTAAGTTCCCAGTAACACGCTCAGTACCATTATGTGTGTCAATGTTCGAGGACGGAAAAGGGTGTTCTTTTGGAACCGCCGATTCAACGATTTACAACTATTTCTTCACAAACTCCCTCTCTGAGACATCGTACTGTTTCAAGGCACACACATCAAAGAAACCAACAGGAGTTGAGATGTATCCTGTAAACGTGGTTAAATACAGGTTCGATGGTAGTTTGTTCACCGCAGGAGGAGATGGTTCAATGGGGTTCTGGGATGTGTTCAAGTTCAAAGCGATTGGGATGCTTCCACCTATAGCGAATTTTGCCTCGATCACCGCAGGGTGCTATTCCCCCGACGGGAGATATCTTGCGATTGGCGTTGGGTACGATTGGAGCTATGGAGTATATGGAAGCTCGTTGATGAAAGAATCGGGGCTACTGGTCAAAGCAGTTGACCCGGCGATATGCAGAAGCTAATAAATGGTCTGTAATTGTTTACTCTTCAAGTGAAATGTATTAGTCGTTTAAGGAGTGATGGTATTTTATTAGTATTTTATTTAGACATAGTTTACAATTGTCAAGAAACACAACGATAAATCAAAGGTTTCAATTTCAATAGAAAGTGTTAATCAGAGCATTGGTGCGCCTGAATTTTTCTTGTCTTGAGCTTCAGTCCAGGCTTTTGCGATTGTTCGTTTCATATCATCGTCACCTTTTTCATACATGTCTTTCATCATATTCATAAGACCGGCTTGTGGGTCTTTGTCGTCTGTTTTTGGTGCTTTCTAGTTATTAGAATTTTTATAATAATTATAAATTAATTATAAATAACAGTTCATATCAAACAAACGAAGGAATCCTTTTGTTTCTCCCATTGAGACCATGACGTTGATGTCACCTTTTCGAGGAATATGTTAATTCTATTTGAAGAAAGAGTGTAACGAGACTTGGCCGGATCGATTGGGGCAAACACTTTTCTATTTAAATGATAATTCACCCCATTGAGACTTTTCACCTCCACGTCGAGAGAGTCGGACTCGAATTTGACAGATATCAGTGACTTGTCGTGTGCACCAACCCCATTCAAAAATAACATCAGTTTCATAGAAGACGTACGGTCTTCATATGCGATCTCTTTGAATTGCTCTGTCTGCATTATCTGAACAAGGTTGGCAGTTTGGATATAAATCTTAACTACGTAGTCCACACGACTCTCTACGTGTCTTTGATTGGTGCATGGTGTTAATTATAATTAAATTTAATAATAAAAACCTAATTATAATCGCCACTAAGTCGATTGGAGGAATAACATTTTTCTTTCACGAAATGTTATTAGAAGTATGGTATCCCGATATTGTACACTGAATTTGTGGAATTGAAAAACAGCACAACCCTAATAAATACAACTAAGAAAAGAAGGTTGGAGAATGAAGAGTATACTCGCAACGGGGTACGATGGAATGTCGTATTTGATCAACGCGAAGAACGGAGAGATTCAGTGCAGATTTAAATCGCCACAAAATGTCACGGGTGTGTCTGCCGCTGCGTTAAATATCCAACACTCGAAGTTCCTTATTAACGACACGGAGAAGTCGTGCGTGTACGAGTACTCCTTTTTGCGGGAGAATGTTGTTTCGAAGTCATCCATCATCGAACCGGTGTCATCATTATTGTATGTCAAAGGGATGTATATCATCGGTGGGACTGTTAGTGGGAAAGTTCTAGTGTGGGAAGAGAAGAGTGGGGTCTTACTGAAACAGTTTCAAGCACATAACAAGAAGATCAACGCGCTTTGTTTCTCCGAGAAGTGTGGAGTTCTTTTAACGGGTGGAGAAGACTCGGTGATTCGAGGGTGGTCGTTTGTCGCAATATTTAATGGAACCCTATGCACACCACTCTTTACATTGACCGCACATACCCTTCCCGTCACACACATAATATCTTCGAATAATAGAATCCCAGGCTTTATTTCAGTCTCTTTAGACAACACCGTGAAGTGTTGGAAATATGGGGAAGTCACTCCAACTGCGTCATTCACATTACCATCACAACCCATTTGTCTGTGCACAAATGAGGAGCTCACTGTATTTTCTGTGGGGTGTGTAGATGGGAAAGTCTATCGAATACCTGTGTTGTATGCTCCACAGTTTGATCGAGTGAATCGAAAAGAAGAGATGATGGGCAAAGTGATTGAACATGGTGAAAATGGGATTGTAAGAGACTTGGTCGATTATAATGGAAATTTGTTGGTTGGATATCAAAATGGGACGTTGGTTGTGTTCGATACTGAAACCACTGAACCGTTGTTGGTCATCGATCATATTAAAAGTCCTATCATTCGGTGCACAGTTATTACAACACCAACAAATTTTAATTCACTGGAAGACATTTCTATCAAAAAGACTAAGGAATGGGTCGTCGAACAAATTTTACTGAAAAAATACCCGGCTATTAAAGACGAACTGTTCTCACTCATATTGGTCGAACAAGCACAAAAACAAACAAAAAGGGAACTTGAAAACGTCGTGTTCAGAAAAGCAAGTGCTTCGAAAATCGATGGAACACTCCAAACCGACGAAGCCACCGAACTTTTTAAGGTAAGAGAAGAGTTGGCTTGTTGGAAGGCAGTCAATACACAACTCCTCAGTCTTCTTGAAAACAAAAATTGATTGATTTTTTTTAGTTAATTATAATACAATTTTTATCGGAAATTGGATAAAAATGTTTTCGATTTTTTCACGAGTTAATTCATAAAAGCATTATTTGGTGTCCGATATATCTGTTAGTTTTTGAACGATACAATTAATGGTTTGTTCATGATAGTTATATGGTTATAATATAGTTTAAATATTGATTGAAAAAAATCCACAAACTGAATGAAAAGCGACATAACACACCACTTTTTAATAAATACTGAAAAACTGAAAGGTCTGGTTCAAAAGACAATTAAAATTTAAATAGTAAAAACAATTAAATTTTATTATTAAAACAACTTGGTGTTTTTTTCATATGACCAAAAGAACGAAAAAATTAGAATCATAATTTTGATGATATTTTAATGATACAACAGCAATCAAAATTCAAGAGTTCAGGAAAAAATAATAATGGAGCAATCAAGGCGTTGAGTAACCAATTTTAAAAAGAAAAGTCGAAAAACGAACTCGAAAAGGCCGGTTGAAAATTATTTAAAGAAAAGAAAAACGGAAAGAATCAGAACAGAACTAAAAAGAAACTAGAGATTTAAAATAGTATTTTTAAAAGTTAAGAAACTGGAAAAAGGATTAAAGATGTCTGACGTACTGAAGAGTGGTATAATGGTGAAGGAGGGTCATAAAGTAAAGAGTTGGAAGAAAAGGTGGTTCGTTTTTAGAAAGAGTGGGGCGTTAGACTATTACGCAGACAAAAAAGTTTGGCTTTTCACCCATTTTTTCAATGGAATAAAATTTCGACAATTTGGATGAAGTTTTCTTTCAAAACTCAAACAGGTTTTTGGGCGTAGCGAGTTATTTTTTAATTATTCCTTTCTTTGGGTAGAACGTCGGAAAATAACATTTAGGAAAGCGACCAAAAAGGAACAGTCGACATCAACAAGTTGACTTCCTTAAAAAAGACAGAAGACAAGAAGCGTGTGATGTTGGAATTGCTTCTTGACAATAAAATTTTCCGTCTTGCGTTCGACTCCGACGCTACACGTGACGAGTGGAACGCAGTCTTCCAGACCTTTATCGACAATAAATCAACCAACAGAAAGTCTCAGGTTTCCAAACCGAAGTTGGAAGACTTTGAGACACTAAAATTGATTGGAAAAGGAACGTACGGAAAGGTGATGTTGGTGAAGAAGAAAGACACTGGGAAGATATTTGCGATGAAGATCTTGGACAAAAAGGCTGTTGTTGAAACGAACGAGGTTGAGCACACGATGGCCGAGCGTGAGGTTTTGGGCACAATCGACAATCCATTTATCGTCCACATGCACTACTCCTTCCAGAACGAAAACAAATTATATTTTGTGATGGACTTCGTCAACGGTGGGGAGCTGTTCTTCCACTTGCAAAACGAAAGGCGTTTCTCGATCGCCCGCGCCAAATTCTACTCTGCAGAGATTTTGCTCGCTCTTGAGCACCTTCACAAACACGGTATTATTTACCGAGACTTGAAACCAGAGAACGTGTTGTTGACGTGCGAAGGGCATGTTTGTATTACCGATTTCGGGCTGAGCAAAACTGGGATGAAAGAGGGTGGGGACAAGACTGGTACGTTCTGTGGAACTGCCGCATACCTTGCGCCAGAAATTTTGTTGGGTGAAAAATATGACAGCGCCGTTGATTGGTGGAGTTTTGGTATTTTGACGTATGAAATGATGGTCGGGATCCCGCCATTTTACAGCGAAGATGAGCGTGAGATGTACCAGAACATTGTGAATGAGAGTGTACGATATCCACCAAACACCCCAAGTTCAATCAAAACGTTCATCGACGGACTTCTTGAAAAAAATCCGACGAAGCGTTTGATCGATACTGCAGTGATGAAGACCCACCCGTTTTTCCAAGGGCTCGACTTTGACAGGTTGCTCAAACTCGAGGTTGTCCCGCCTTACGTTCCAAACGTTAAATCAGCCGAAGACGTTGCAAACATCGACCCATTCTTCCTTGGCGAAACTCAGTCCGCTATTGACGAGGAGAAAAATCAGAAGTTGGGTGGTGAAGAGATCAAGTTTGATGGGTTCACGTATGTTTCGAAGAAAGAGTAATTGTTTCTCTTTTTTTCTGCGCTTTGACGCTCAAGTTTTTTTCTTTAGTTCCATTGGTTTTCCTTTCATTTTTTGCCTTTTTATGTTCTCTCTTTCCTCCACAATTTTGAAAATCTAAAAAGAAGTTGTCATCTTATCAAAAAAAAGTTTTGTACGAATGGAGGGAGGTGTTACTCGAGAAGTGTTGGCATACAAAGAAAACCCAAACGAAGACCGAAAGTGGTCAGTCATCAAAAAAATGCGGAACGAGCGGAACAGAAATTTATTACTCGAAGTTGCGTTTGGTCCGTCAAAACAAAACGACAAGGCTGAGCGACAAAAGGCGTCGAACGAAGTGAAGAAAAGGTTGAGCACATCGGCCCCAAAAAGTCTTAAAATAAACGCCGTGATTCAGAATGATGAGATACCCTTGGACAAGCTCGAGGAGATGGTCAGTGCGCTTGAGGTTCGGATTGAGAAGTTGATGCGTTGTCGGAACGACTGAACAGGAAAATGATACATTTTTTCAACTCTTTCATACGACATTACCAATAACTATATTTTATAATTTAAAATGGTTTATTTACTGGTATTTTCTTATACTAGATGATTATAGTAAAAAAATTATATATAACAAGCCACCAAAAATTGAATGAAACTAATCTCTGAAAGAACACATCAAACAGACGTCAATGGAGCCTATTGAAGTTCAAGCGTACTGTTTTGACGACAAGAGTAAGACTCTATCAGTTGGTACGACTTATGGATTTGTTGTGTATGGACTGGAGAAGAAAGATCCATACGTCCGTTATAAACGTACGTTAGGGAGTGGGATTGGACTGATCACGTCATTGGAATCCACCGGCGTTGTTGGATACGTTGGAGGAGGAAAGACGCCGTACTCGCGTGCGAATGATGTTGAAGTTTGGGACGACTCCAGTGCCTCAGTGGTTCTGAAGAAGAAATACGAGAACGACGTCAAAGCTCTTTTGTTGAAGCGGAAGTACTTAATAGTAGTATTAGAACAAGTTACTATAGTTCACAAAATCTCATGTGGAGTTACTCTTAGGTACCCGACCTGTGCGAATCCATATGGGTTGGTTGGCTTTTATGAGAAGACGAATTGCTTGATTACATTGGGAGAGAAAGAAGGGACGATTGGGTTCAGTAAGTTGACTAACAACGCAAATGACAAGAACGAGGTTGATTCGATAGTGACTTGTTGCAAAAGTGCGATCACGACGTTGGTGGTGCATTCTGGCGGATTGTACGCTGTCGTCTTTTGTCCGAAGAAACAAAGCTTCTCATTCATCGATTTACAATCGAAAGAAAAGTACCTTGTTATCAATCACCAGGGATCGACTTTGAAACAACCCCCATTCATTTCAATGTCACAAGTCATTATGACTGTTGTATGTGGGGATTCCATTTACATCTATGACATCCTTAAAAAGAAGAACAAAATATACTCACAGAAGCTTGAGAGAACACAACACGCGGCTGCGTTCTTGTCGAGTACTGGAGGGATGAAGTTGTTTGGTTTGTCTTATAGTATATATTATAATAATATATTATATTTATATAATATAATATTATAATATTATTATCTTTTATACCTTTTTGTAAGAGTGATTGAACACTGACATATAGTAATTGATAAAAGCGGATTGCTCGACATCTACGACATCGACGTGAACGCAAATCAAGAAGTCTCATTCAACTTAATGATGTCAAAAGGGTTATTACAGTGATGTTTATATTGGTTATAAAAGAACAAAAGATAATTTCTATATGAATAGATTAAAATACAGAGATAGATAGAGTTTTTACTTTTTTTCACTAAAAAATCATAAGACAAGAAAGTATGACGGAGATCAGAAGAAAGTATTTGGACCGATTTCATATGATGGTAGTTTCAAGATACTTTGAGTATGAAAACGACTATATTAACATCATTCAAGTGTGCAAAAAGTATGTGAATTTGTTGGAACTCTTTAGGTACAACCCGATTCCCGTCACATCCACAAAGTTGTTTCCAAACATTCAAACGCACTACTTATACTTCTCTTATGAAAAAAAGTTGGCTAATGTTTCACTTGAAGTCATTTGTTATCCCGTGAGTGTCAAGAAGTATCTGGAGTGTAAAAAAGAAGGTGTGAAGTGTTTGAATGTCTGTGCGGAAGCAATGGACGGACCACTTTTATTTGATGGAAGTAACACAGAAATAGCCAAAGTGGTCTCTTCACTCTCAGAGAAGTGTTTCCAAGGAAAGAGAATCAAGGCAGTCATATTGCCGAATCATATCACTTCGCTTGGTAACAATTGTTTCTCGGACTGCAATGAATTGAAAAGTGTGGTGCTTCCAAACACACTGACAACACTCCCATTCATGTGTTTTTCTTCGTGTCGACAGTTAAAAGAAATCGAAATCCCCTCAGGCGTCGTGTGGATGGAAGCAACGTTTTTTGGGTGTATGTCTTTGAGTCGGGTGACATTCCCCGACACGTTAAAAATGATTGGGAATCACACGTTCAATTATTGTGCATTACTTGACAAAGTCACTTTACCGACTCGATTGTGTCGCATTGGTGTTTCGTGTTTTGAGAGATGTGGTTCGCTCAAGAAGATAGAAATTCCAGAGAGAGTTGTTTCCATAGATAACAAAGCGTTTTGCAATTGTGGACTGACTAGTGTTAAACTCCCGAGCAATTTAAAAGAGATTGGATCGCGCTGTTTTTCTAAGTGTAAACGACTTCAGTCATTTGAAATCCCAAAGAGTGTGATATTATTAGGGTTATGTATACTAGAGGGGTGCACTTCACTCACCAGTTTTAAGAGTGCTGTCGATAATAACGGCGATCTTTATTACGAATTCTCAAATTTTGAAAAGAAGATCATCCAGTCTTGCGATAAAGATATCGGATTTTATAATGTCAACTTCATGCCAGGGTTGGGAGGCGATAAAATTGAAATACCTTTGGGGCTCGATTGTGGAATTCTGGCGACTGAAAGTTTCAAATCAAATTTGACGCTTGAAAGTATTTTCATACCACAAAGCATCGTTCACTTGGACGAAAAATGCTTTTACGAATGTCGAAATTTGTCATCGATAGCTTTGGCTTCGTCGGTGACTGCAATTGGAAGTGGCGCATTTGGTTGCTGTGATAAGCTTCAAATATTTGATGCGCCACAGTGTTCGCTTCGAATGCTCGAAAGTGATGTTTTCAAAGAATGCACATCACTTAAAACCATAGCCATCCCGACGTCTGTCACTCGAATTAAAGACTCGTGTTTTGAGGGATGTGTCTCTTTACAGTCTATATTAATTCCACCTCTTGTCAAGAAAATTGGACGCAACTGTTTTTGTGGTTGCGACAAACTTGAAAGAATTGAATTTAAAAGTTGTGTTGCGATAAAAACCGGGACTTTTGAAGGATGCACGGCATTAACGAGGGTTGATGCACCCTTTAAATACAACAAAGAGGTGACTACGTATGCGGACAAACAGTTATTAGAACGGTTTGATATCAAATGCGACAATGTTGTGTTTACAAAGGACGACTTTTTGCGATATAACCCGCAACCGAATACGTATCACTTCCCAACAGACTGCGACATGGAAATTGATGCTGGTATATTTGAAGCAAAAGCTCTCACTGCATTTGTATTTCCGGAGAATATCACAGGAGTTGATGGAGAGATGTTCAAAGACTGTTTACAACTGACACGAGTTGTATTTCCATCGAGGCTTGAAAATATGAAGCGATGTCAATTCAAGAATGTGCCACAATTAAAAGAAATTGTGATGCCGCACATCCCAACGAAACTGTTTTATTCGTGTTTTGAAGAATGCACGGCTTTGACATTGTTTGACTGTGGTACACAAGTCTTTACAAGTAAAGTCTCGTTGACGACTCGGAACATTTTGGCGCAATGCGGAGTCAAATGCACACACCTGTGTTACACTCAGCGAGACTCAAATACAATGGGAAAGTTCTTTTCAAGTGATGAACCTTTCAATGTGAAGTCGTTTGATAATTACACATTTGATTTTGGTCTGACAACGTGCGACATCCCAACAACAATTACTTCAATTGAGAATAACGCGTTTTTGATGGCTTTTGGATTGGAACATGTCACCCTTCCTTCAACAATTTTAAAGATCGGGAGAACTGCTTTTATCGAGTGTCAAAACCTCAAAGAAATTGTGTTTCCTCCAGGCTTGAAGAAAATACCAAATAAAGTGTGTATGGCGTGTTTTTCATTATCAAAAGTGGTGTTTCCCGATGTCTGCACCAAAATTGGATCAACTGCTTTTTACTCGTGTCCTTCACTCACAGAAGTTACTATACCAAAAAGCGTCGTAAAAATCAAAGGCTCGTGCTTTAATCGATGTACCAATTTGGAGAAAATCACATTTGAAGGAGACAAGATCCAAAAATTTGGATTCAATCTGTTTTACAAATGTTTTTCATTGAAAGAGATTGCAATACCCCCATTAGTCACTTCTATTCAGCCATTTTGCTTTTTCAAGTGCGAAAAATTGAAAGAAATTGCGATACCATCGACTGTCACAAGAATCGGATTTGTTGCGTTTAAGAGGTGTTATTCACTCACGAAGGTTGTTATTCAAAATGGCACTCTGGAGCTCGGGAAAGAGTGTTTTTCGTATTGCACTTCATTGGCTTCAATTTCACTTCCAGACACTATCACAAATATCGAAGGCGGGACTTTTTTGGGGTGCAAAACACTCACTTCTCTCACAATACCAAAGGATATCACAAAGCTCGAAATTGGGTTTGTCGAAGAATGCAATGCACTCCAACAAATTTATAAAGGAGATAAAAGACTGAAATCCTATGAATTCACTACTGGGTATAACCAGTCCCTTGTTATGAACAAAAATGCTATTAAAACACCACACGTGGTTTATTCGTCGAAGGATGTTGTTATTGAGGAGGGTAGTATTGTTGTACCAAACAGTATTACGGAGATTGGAGACAACTGTTTTAGGCCTTTCGATAAAATCAAGTCGATCACCTTGTCGCGAAATGTGAAGATTGTTGGAAAGAACTCGTTTGGACAGGTTGGGGAAAGTCAAATTCATTACATATAACTATAAAGATTCATATCTATTGGTTTCTGTTTTAAATGTGTCTAACCATTTTCAGACAATGAGGTATTTCCAAAAGTTTTAGAACAACAAATAAATAATTTAAAACTAAATTAAACTATACAATTAATAATTCCAAAAAGATTTCAAAAGAAATTTGTTTTTTATAACTTTTCAATATTTTTAAAAGTTGAGCAGATTTTTAATTGTGGGTTTATTGTTGTTTTGAAAGAGTTAATATTATTATTCTATTATAATAATATTATAATAAATTATTTTATTTGTTACAAGGAAACGATTGATTTTGTTGATAACTTTTTGTTTTGGGATGATTTGGCAAAAATGTTTATTTGTGCCAAATCACAATCAAAAATATAATTAAAGTTAAATAATAAAATTATTAATATAGTAACCACTACTCATTTCAACAACCAAAAATCATTTTTGTCGTTTTTAAGAATCCAATTGTTTTATGAAAACATAAAAAATTGAAAAAGATTTAAATAAAATTATTCGAAGAAAAAACGCCAAACAAAGAATTTTTATCGCAAAGATGATAATGTAAAAAACAAAAAATAAGATAACAATTATTAAAACATTCATTTAATTAATTACAATTGATTATATAAATTCAATATGTTTTTCTTTTTGATTTGTGAGAGGTGGATTTGTTGGCACATTAGGTTGCTAACCTTTTTGGTTTGGCTTGAAGAACGGTTGGAGATGTCGGTGTTTAGGGTTCAAACATCATCTTGAACTAAACGATCAGTTGCCGCAACACGAGAAGAGAATGAATAATAATAAGAGTTGTATTATTCTTGATTAAATAATGTGCGTAGATTGAAATTGACGTTGTTATGAGTAAAAACGTTTTATTGGAACAACCGTCCAGGAAATTGTTACGTCTTGCAACAAAATGTTGCATAAAGATGAATAACAAATATATGGTTTGTAATATCATTTTAATTCCTACTTGATTAAATGGTTGTAATTTTTAAACGGTGTATTTTATCAATATGAACATATTATCGTTTGGTTATCAAACATAAGTTAAATGTAACTTACAATCGATATATTTTATCTTATTGAATGAGTTATTATAAAACATTTTATCACATTCATAATCTCAAAATAACGAATTTAGAGTTTGGTTATTTAGCCTATTTATACATCACTATTTTATGCAAACTTTCAGAAAAGAAAATCACATAACACTGAAAGTTAAATTGTTATCAATCAGCTTCAATGTTCATTTCAAATCATTGAAATTATAACATTTATCGAAAGCAACGTTATTAGATCGAATATTTGGTTGTTAAAAATAGTCGGATTTTGTCAATTAAATTTTTGGGAGTGTAAACAATTATATATATAAACCTGACATGTACATTTGACAAAATGTCTTTGATTTTTCATCAACCACTAACCACTTTAACCTATGCCATGACTATCAAAAAATATACCAACATTTCCGATCTGATTCGTTGGTTATTTTCTATTGGGAGTTAAAAAATAATATTTTGGCTAATTGTGCAAATCAATCGGGTTTTACTCCCAATCATTATTTTGTATTTATAAATTAATATAATTATAAAAATATAAAACCATTTTGTTTGAAAATTTGGCTTATCTAAAAATTCCCATAATTTTGACATTATTATTCTATAGTAATTAATTTTATTATAATTTTTGGAATTGTTGGTTTATTTGGGAATGGATACTTTATTTTTACGAAATTTTTAATTTTATAATTATATTTTTAATAATTGAGTGCCAATTTCATCTGTTTTTTGCATTATTGAAATTTAAGAAATCGGGAATATTTATCTAATTAACAATTATGACCCCCAATTATAGAAGCGCAAAACAAATCACATTCATATCACTTTGTAAGATATCCCGATTATTTACGTACATTTTCAACAATAAATTACCAAAGCTTCACAATTGCCGATGCGGAAAAATAATACTTCTGTTTTGAACGTATTATAACCAAATATTAATAAAAAGAGTTAGTGACACTAAACAAATGAACAAAACAAAGTTTGTTTTTAAGGGTACTTTACTTAACCTTCAATCATTGTTTTATTAGAATAAAAGAGGTAAACTCGTGGTGAACCTTTATTCAAAAACTGAACACTTTACAAACGACTGTTTTATAAAAACACCACTCAAGTGAAACAATTTACATTTAAAGTAAATTATTTGGTATATCGGGAATAATCCTCAGGTCGTAAGGTAATCATCTTCTTTTCGTTAAGTTCAGTCTCAATGAATGTGGAAATTTTGTGGCCATTTTCTACAATGACTTTGTTGGTCGCAACGATTTCCACCTTCCCCTTGTTGATAAAAATGAGTTGTGCCTTCTCGAGTTGGTGAAACACTATAATGCCCGTTTGGATATACAAGAGGTCTTCGATATACTCGATGATCTCTTTCCGCCTGTAGTTCTGAGTCCTTCGTATGACGGTCTTTTCCATCCTTCCCATCGTTTTTTCCAACTCCATTTTTTCGTACAACCTCTTCTTGATGTAGTTTTGAAAATCGACTCTTCCATCTTTCGATGAGATAGAGGCAATATTTGGAAATGGCAGAGTTTTAGAGGTGTGTGTATGTGGGAGATTAATAACAATTTCATTGTCTTTTGATAGAAGAGCTATGACATAAGAAACAAGACACGACTCTGCATCCATCCTTCTCCGTGTCTTGGCCTTTTGCCGCTCTTTTTTTGTGATATATACTGGTTTATAGGCTTTCGTGACTTTTTTCATTTTTATCAGTTTTATTTTTCCTTTTTAATTCCCTTCTTAAAAAATTTTCACTTTTTCTCCAATTCTATGTTAAGGAAAAGTAACCCAAATCAAAAAAAACTTACTCTTTTTATAAAATGATGTTATTTATTCTTTAATTTGTTCATTAAATGTTAGTACAGTATTGAGAGATCTCATAATAAACACAATCAGTAAATTGGTTTTGGAGTAATTAACTTGATGTTTGTCAATTTATCGCTTTGCGATATTAACTTTATTTATTTTCTTACATCAAAATGATAATGGCTTTTCTTACAAAAAGTAAATACGTCTAATGATATTGGCAATCCTTTATGAAAAGTGCATCAATGATTCGTAAACGTTAATTGTTAATTATTATTGTCAATTTAATAATATTTTATAATGAATAATAATAATTTCACGAATTTGAAGTGCAAATGTGGTTTGAGATTGATTACTATGTTAATTGATTATATATATAACCTCTTCTGTACTTATTCATAATATTTGTGTTTAAAGCAAAAGATAGGGTTGAATTTGCATATTTTGTTTATTTATGGTTAGATATTGAAACTTATTTTCAGTGAATAAATGTTGTTTGACAAAAAATCGTGTTAATTTTTTGTTTTAACTTAATTTTATTTAATGTCTAATTATATTATAACTGAATTATTATATATAAACTACTTTCACTATCATAAAAATTTATTTATAATTAAAACCGAATAATAAAATAAACTAAAATATAATTAAAAACAAATTTATATCATTTATAGTATAATTTAATAAAAATTATATTGAACATTAATAAATTCTAAAAATAAACTTTTGAATTATAATTATAATGTATAAATAATAACTATATTTATATAGTTTTATTATTAATAAAATAATTCAACTAATTATTAGTTATTTCAAAAAAAACTATCAATTTAAATAATTATCTTTTTTTGATGTTATCTACTTTTTGTTATTTCATTTTTTGGTGAAAAATAAACGGAATTTTATTATTAAATTTGTAATAATAATTATAATAATAAGCAATAATAAATAATTGTATTTTTAAAATATCACAACATTAAAAATAAAATATTATTTTTTTTCTTACCAAATTTAATTATTTATAACGGACCTTTTTTGTAAACTATTGAACTGTTTTTATTAATGCAAAACGGACGAGTCGATATGACACTCGACCGTCAGGTCAAAAATCGTATTTTTCAATTATCTTCTTTGCGTTCACAAAGTCGTGAACAAAATTTGGGTATGCAGCGTATTTTGTATGAGGAAAAGGACATTAACCCATTAACACTGCGGCCTATTCCGGAGGTCATCGCAACTATTCAACAAGCCAATGGCTTCACACAAGAACTATTACACGAGCTCAGTGAGCTCTCTAAGATATCCACGTGTTTCCAAATATTTCCCGTGACATATGAGACTGTCCTTCAAATCACACAAACACTTCTTGTGTTGTTACAACAATTTGGGATAGGCCCACTGTATGTCAAAAAGATATTCATCACGTTATCAAATATATTTGTGACACTACCAAAGCAACTTCACGCTCCTGTCGTCGCACAAGATGTTGTTTCCGCGGCAATGTTTTTTGCGAAAAAGCGGCAACCCCTCTCCCTTCCCTTTGTACTTCTTTTCTTGACAAATTTGATTGGCGACGAGGAACATGAAATTCCCGTCGACAAAATTTTTGAACTTGGCTTGGTCGAACTTTTGTCGCAAATGAACGCCGAAGGGTTTATAGACGAAGACACTGAAGACGCGTACGCAACTTGCTTTTGCAACATTATGAAGTCCCTCAACAAACGACAGAACGTCGAGTTTCTTCAACCGATCATTCCATTGAAACTGTTATACACAAAGAACGAACACGCACTTGCAGACACTTGTTGGGGGATCATGATGTTCTGTAAAAACACACAACTTTTCGACATCTTAATTCGAATGAATGTCTTCCCCCGGTTGGTCGAAATACTCGACGAACAACATCCGCAGACGGAATTGCCGATATTGAAAATATTTGATAATTTTGCGTACGAGGATGAGAAGTTCTTTAAGTACTTTATCCAAATAGGAGTGTTGGAGAAGCTGAAAACACTAATTCTATCACCAAAGACGAACGAGTGTATATTGGAGCGGTGTACCTTCATTGTGTCGAATTTGTCTGTCACGCCCGAATTTGTGCAGCTGTTGATGGAAAACCAAATCATCACAATACTCATCGATAAGTACTTTTTACAGAGCGAGAACGTGAAAACTGAAATTCGGTGGACAGTCGTCAATTTTTTGATTGTTGCGGACGATTTGATGATTTTTGAGTTGATCAACAACGAGCGGATTTTCTCGTTGTTTGCGGACTTTGATGTGAAAGATGAACGAATAGTTCGGTTGTACCTCAGTGGGTTGTTGAAGATCATTCTAGTAGGTGAGAAGGGGGGTGTTGTAGAAAAGATGAAAGAAGCCGGGTGTGCGGAGTGTGTTGCAAATTACACGCATCACCACGACGCAGAGATCTCAAGAGTCGCCTTTGCCATTTCGCGCACATTCTTCGATAAACAAAACGAGTATGACGAACTCAATTAAAATTGTTATTCACGTTGCTATGTTATTCGACAGTTTTGCAATTCAATATTATCGTTATGATGTTTATAACTTTAATCAGTTCCAGATGAGTTCAAGCCTTTCTTGAATATATTAATATTAACACTATATCCGAAAGTGTTAATATAAATAGTATGCTAATAGTATTCGAATTGATAGTTTAAATTATTTTATTAGTATGTCTTCTCATTTTAAACAATGACTATAATAGTACTATTATAAATAGTACATGACTAATTCTCTATTGGTATTATTTATTATTTATTTATCTTTCGTTAATTTAACTACCACAAAACACAGAAGAAAACAAAAGTGAACTAAAAACATTTCATTCAAAAAACATTTCCATTTTTAATTACGAGGGGATCAGTTGACCAAAAAAATAACGAGTGAAATTTCACAAAATGATTTTAATTAACGTATTTATTTATCAGTAAATACTACCAATTTATATTAGTTTTTAATAATAAATATCATTAAATAAGGATTTGAATTCAAAAACAGCGTTAATTTAAAAACAGTGTTAATAAACACATTTCAACTTAGAGAGTTTGTGAATGAAGAAAAATGGCCAAAACAAAACGAATAACAAAAGTATTTCAAGAAATAAGAAGAAAAAACAAAGATCTTAATTTTGAAACGGAATGAGTCTGTCTGTCGAACAACCAAGTACGACCGAAGTTGGTCAACCGGACCTTCCCAAGGAAGTCAACTTGACGAATTTTCGGATCGTGAAGTTGATCGGTATAGGGAATGTCGGCCGCGTATATTTAGTTCAACTGAAGGGGACAAGCAACTATTTTGCGATGAAAGTGTTAGTGAAGAAAGAGATGGAGAAGCGGAACAAAACAAATCGGGTGACCACGGAGAGAGACATATTGTTGACGACCCGCCACCCCTTTATAGTTCATCTCTACTGGTCCTTTTCAACGGAAATGTGTTTTTATTTTGTCATGGACTATTGCTCCGGGGGAGACTTTTATCATACCCTCAAGATGACAAGTCACCGCTGCTTACCAGAAGAAACAGCGCGATTTTACTTAGCGGAAGTCTTGTTAGCACTTGAATACCTGCACTTGAATGGAATCATATATCGCGATTTGAAGCCAGAGAACGTCTTGTTGAATGGGAATGGACATATCATGCTCTCAGATTTCGACTTGAGTAAGACGCAACCAATCAAAGGAGACATGGCAAGGGCTATTATGTCCGCACACGAACAATTCAAAAAGGAACCGTCTTATATCACTAATTCATTTGTGGGGACTGCAGAGTACTTAGCACCAGAAGTCATTGTCGGGTATGGACACTCGGGGTCTGTCGATTGGTGGACTTTTGGGATATTCATGTATGAAGTCTTATATGGAAGAACGCCATTCTTCTCGAGGAATCGAGACACCGTCTTCTCACAAATTCTCGACGGGGAAGTCTTGTTCCCGAAGACTTGGACGTATCCCGTCTCCGCACATGCAAGAGACTTGATTAAAGCACTGCTTAAAACAGATCCAGAGAAGAGACTCGGCACAAAAAAAGGGGCAGAAGAAATTAAAAGTCACAAATTCTTTAGGGGCGTCAAATTCCAGTTAATTAGAAACATCCCTCCACCTATCGTTCCACAAGTTAAAGGCCCAGAAGACACACACCACTTCAGTGATGTCGTTGATAAAGGAGACTTCTTAGCTGATGAACTTAAGGCGTGCGAACAAGCCGCTACGACAAACCCTGCCTCAAACCCCACTCAGCTCCAGTCTCAAAGTACTACACAACAACAGGCTCAGCCTCAAACGACTTCAACAACACAAGCGACTATCGTTCTTGGGGAGAACTTACAGAAATAATATCACATTTTCTTCTGATTGGTTGTTAGTCTCGAAGGAAGAGTCTAAGTTAAGCTTTAAACTATTACTAGTACTATTAAATGATTCTTCTCTTCTTTTCACAATAAATGGAATTCTACTATTCCTTTCTAGTATAAATAAGTATAATATAGTTTGAGAATTTTAATTATAGAAAACAAGTGCAAAGAACTTCAATGGGTCGTTTGTTTTTGATTGACTACAAAAGATACTGATTTTACATAAGGTGTTTCAACAGTGATCGGTGACCCCCATACATAGCGTTGAAACGTTGTTGTATTGCGCTGGAGGTGATATCTCAATTCATAAATGCCTTCCATGGGCGGAGTATCGAAAATCAATTTGAGTTTTTTGACATCAGTGAGCACGAACTTTGATGTGAACAAATGTAAAAAGCCATTCTCGAGGGTTTGGACAACGGAGAAGGCACATTCCTCGGTCGAGCGATCGAAAAATGTTATGACGATACCATCAGCAAGTATTGTGATGTCAAATGTATCGCGCAAATAAGGCAAAACACCAACGTCTCCGACTAGAAAACAATTTTGGTGAACTAACGTGGCTGTCCACAACGCATACTTGGAGACTTTTATGAGCTTTTTGAACGCACCAACCCCCACTGCTATTCGTTCGTCGACCTCGTCGTTCATCAAAATATCAATTTCGGCATTTTCGTGGCTGCAGTATCCACTCACTTCAATTTCAGTTGTCGAGCGAATGTCACATTTGATTGTGTTTGTGCGTTTGTTGGAAAGGAGATACTGTGCAAATTTTCGTTCGTTAATTAATTCTTGAATGGTGTTTGGACGGAAGATGGAAAAAGGAGCCACTCGTTTGTCAAAAAGTTTTATTGAACGACACAACTCATTCATGGGCGGTCTCTTTATTGAGTTTTTCTGTTCAAGTCATCGTTAACAATGTCTGGATTGGGTATAGTTTTTTAATAATAAATTTTATTATAAATACTTATTTTATTATTAAAAATAATGAATTAATAAATGAATATAACGAAATTGTAATGATGTTTGGCTTTAAATTCAAGAAAAGCTTAATAACATTTTAATAAAATCAAATAAAATGTTATTTGTTAAAAGTGATTTTTGGAAATGATTTTACAAGAGTTATTTCTTTCACTTTTTTGTTTTTTGTTATTATAATTTATACATTTAATATATAAATCATTGCATGGTAGTTCGATTGAATAACAACTTTTGAAAGAAATCAAATACTAATATGTAATAATTATTTACTAATTAATCAAATCATTCAATTTATGTGGTACCACGTTGTAACGATGGGGCGCTTAATGTAAAAGATTATTCGAAAAGTTTGAAATAGAATAGATTTGTTCAATTAAGAACAAATCCCGAAATATTAAGTTATTTCGATATTAATATCAATAGTAATAACAATAATTGCCTTTGATTTCGGTATTTAAATAATAATGGAAAAGATTTTTTTTATTTAGAAGTTGGTTTTTTCTGAAATTGCTTTTAGATAATTATTTAAATAACAAAATTTAATATATTTTAATCATTTCATCCTAAAAATAATAACCACATATTTTTATTGTTGATACTAAACAAAAATTATTATACAACCAAATTTATATTATATTTTTGACTGTTGAAGACTAAGTTTTATTTTTTTAAATGTCGAACTTTTTAAAAATCCAGAAAACCCCTTTCATTGCAATTTTTATGCCATTTTTTCTGTTTTTTGCGAAAAGAAAGCCGAAGTAAACTGTGAATATGAATAATTATCTTTGGGATTCGGCAAATATGTCAGAGTATTTTATTCTTTCAAAACACAAAAATAATGTCAAATAAATCAATTTGTTTATCGACAAATAGCGCAATCATTTCCAATTGGTTGATCAACATAGTTGACTTGTTGATGGATTCACAAAAAGTATAACATTTAAGTTATTCTCAAAATACAGAATAAAAAACAACCTAATTTTCCTCAATTTTTAGCCATAAAACATCTTATTTTCAATATTTCAAAAAGAAAAGCAACTTTGTGGGGTTCCCAATACAAAAATAGCTTTTTTCCAATCATGTTTTTTTATTAATAGTTGTTATTTAAAAAAGAAAGGATTACGCATTTCTTTATTATTATAACTCAACTATATTTTAATCATATTTAAACTATATATAAAAGGGAATTTAGTTGTTAAATAACCATACATTATTACTTTTCAAAACCAAACAAAAACTATCGTTCACTTTTTCATTCCGTTCAATTCTATTTAAAGTACATATAAAAAAATACACGTTTTATGTCTGGCAACCAGATTAGAATGGTATTGATAAAAATCATTCTAATAGTTTTAACCACAATATATCAAGTTTTAAAGCGAGAATCAGTTAAAAAAGTTTATATTTTGTCAATCATAATTTACTCGAATAATTGTTCCCAAAACCGAATATTTGAACTTCTTGCAAGAGAAAAGTGTATGATACATTCAAAAAATCTCGCTTTTGGGACAGTTTCAACAAACCACCATAAATCACCAAGAATCGGTCACAAATTATAAAAAATAGTTGAGTAATAGTATTACAATAGTTACAAAGAAAACATGTGGGGTTGATCTTTGCAATTGTGTGCTTTTTAATTGCTCAACTCGAACAAAGAACAACTTTTTAATTGGCCATTTATTTCGCTATCATGCGATTTGACATATTTGGCCGTGCGAAAACAGTGTCTCTATTTTTGCACCTCCAAAAATTCAAAAAGAAATTGCGAAGTTTTCCAATCTATTCTTGGGCACCACGTCAACAACATTCATCAACAAGTGGAGGAGTTTTTGGTATAAAAAGGGTTGAACAGCATAATCAAGTATATTCACTAAATGCAAAGTATATCAGGATACAATCCACTGAGTGCGTTTCATGCAGTCAGACTGACAAGGACAAGCGAGAACGAGTACGTTATTAACTCCGAGTCTGAAAAAGACCAATTCAAGACAGAGACAAAAGCAAAGTCGTACCAAGTAGAAATGCTGAAGGCGAAAAGAAACTCGAAAAACAGAGATGCAGCTCAACAAGCTTTTTTAATTGGAATGGCGGCGTCTTTTGGGTATCAAATCGACATCAATAAATTGTATAAAAAGGGGAAAACAACATCACAACTGTTTACAATCAACTCAATTTCTAAGGACAATAAGTTCCTCTTTAAGACACACGACGTTGTTCCCGAAGTCGAAGACTTGAGGGATAAAAGAAGGTGCTTGGATGCAGTGACAAACTCTACTTTACTCGACATCATAATTGCTACAATCGGTGTTAAAGTCTGCGAAAAGAAGTGTCGTATTTCTAAATATGGAAATTCAATTGGGATGCGAAGAATTAAGGCTCTTCGATTCGGAGGATGTAACTTCTCAACTAAAGAAATTACTGAATTTGGAAATCGGATACACAACAATATCCTGAACCATATGGGAACCAAGTCATGTATCATTGATGACAGTTGCAACGATATCACAGCTTTCTTCAGACAAAACAATGAAAGCGTCTCTTCAATTGTACATTAATTATATGTTGATTATTCGATGTTGTTGTTATTAGTTATATTATATAAACACTTGTATTCACTTTATTCATTGTATATACCTTTAGTGTGGTAAATTACTACAATCTATATATGTAGATAACATTTTTTATTTTTATAATTAATTAATAATTTGTTTTATTAACATTTTTAATAACAAAAACTTAGCAATTGAAAAAAGACGAGAATAATCCACCCTTTGTAATCCTGAATTACAGGCCAGTGTTACTTTTTTCTTTCCCAAAAAATATCAAGAAAAATTCAAGAAAAACCCAAAAATTGTTTTTTTTCAAAAAACTTTTCAAATACTACGACATATCAAGTTTTAGTAAAATATCGGGATTGATTATTATCTTTCTAAGTAAAAAAACGAAGAGAAAAGTCGCCTTCCAATAAAATTCCACTTGAAAAGTATGCGACTGGTCAAAGTAGGAAAAGTTGTAATGGGAAGTATATAAGCATCGTTGCGACACAGATAACCATTCGATGTTCACGTTCATCACACTCCTCTCAGTCGCATTGGCGATTGAAGTCAACTTGATGATGCCACTTGACACTGTTAACTCCAATGGTGTCAACAACCAGGGACAACTTCAAAACGATCTCAACAAGATCAAGTCAGCGGGTGTTGCCGGTGTCATGTCTGATGTCTGGTGGGGACTTGTAGAGACTTCGCCAAAGACTTACAATTGGAATGCCTACAAGACCTTAGTCTCTATGGTGAAGAACGCTGGTCTTAAGTTCCAAGCAGTGATGTCGTTCCACAAGTGTGGTGGTAATGTTGGAGACTCTGTGACTATTGAGATTCCACAATGGGTCAGAAACGCTGGCGCTTCCAATGACGCCTTCTTCAAAGACGCCGAAAACAACGTCGCTAACGAGTACATTTCATTTGCTTATGATGACCAGAGCATCTTCGAAGGAAGAACCCCAATTGAAATCTACAAGGACTTCATGGCGTCTTTCAAACAGAACTTCCAGAGTTACATCGACGATGGAACACTCAATGAGATCCAAGTTGGTATGGGACCATGCGGTGAGACAAGATACCCATCCTATCCACTCTCTAGATGGAGTTATTGCGGTATTGGAGAGTTCCAGTGCAGCGACAGCAAGTCACAGGAGAACTTGAAGAATGCGGCAAACAATGCTGGACACTCCGAGTGGGGACACAACCCAACTAATGCGGGTCAGTACAACTACAAGCCACCAACATCAACTGGTTTCTTTGGAAATGGAAACGACAACTACCAGAGCGAATACGGAAAGTTCTTCCAACAATGGTACTTCGACCTCTTGTTGAGCCACACCGACAAAGTGTTGTCTGCTGCAAGAAGTGTCTTTGGCGACAACTTGGCACTTGCTGGGAAAATCAGTGGAGTTCATTGGTGGTGGACTGACAACAGCCACGCAGCTGAGATGACAGCGGGCTATTACAACTCTAATGGAAATGACGCTTACAAAACATTGTCAAATACCTTCAAGAAGAATAACATCAGATTCGACTTCACTTGCCTCGAGATGTCGGGCACAGACTCTAATTGTGGCAGTCAGCCAGCTAACCTTGTCGACCAAGCTTTGAATGCTGCTTCTTCAGTTGGAATTGGGAAGTGTGGAGAGAACGCACTTGAGTTGTGTGGGTATGGCGGATGCAACACAAATGGATTCAACCAAATTGTCAATAAGGCCAAACAGCACAACCTCAATGCCTTCACTTACCTCAGAATGACAAGAGGTCTTCTTGATGATGGAACTGCCTGGGGACAATTCTGCAACTTTGTCAATTCAATGAGATAATTCATTTCTTCCTTTCATTTGCTCGTTTTATCTTGTACCACTCTTTAAATTAAAATAAATAAGCTTAATCTAACTTCTGTGTATTTTAATCGTTTTTTTAGTTAAAATCAATTAAATTAATTCAATAAATTATATCGGTAACAATTATGTGATGAATTATACTTTTGATTTTTTGTTTTTGTTTTTCTTTTTTATGTTTTTTGTTTTATACCGATATATTTATAAAGATTACCACAACTAATTATCACAACCAGTCCAACTTTGGTGTTAATTTTCAGTTTGGTTTTACTTTCAAAAAAGCCGAATTGTTAAGACTCAAAGCAGTTTTCATAAAAATCAAATAAGATTTATTCTTCGATTTAAAACGAAACAAACTAATAAATTGTTTATGTCACTTGATTGTGAACAAGACGAGGTCCTTTCAAGAGAGGTGGAAACTGTCATTTCTATTTTTCCAGGAATAGTGAGACAAGAGGCCGATGTATTAAGAGTGACAATTAAGACCGAACTCACCAATCCAATTGAAGTCGTTTTTGTCGAGGACGAATTCATTCAACGTCCTTACAAAGACAAGAAGAGTGCTTTTCTCACAACGTTGTCAGACATCACACTTGACATTCCAACAGATCCTCCTCTCCAAGACGGGGAGCTTCCCGACTTTGTAGTTCACTGTGACTGGATTCCACCACCAGTTGCTTCTGAAATAATCAAAGAAATGTTAGATGAGTACGACACGAGTGGTGGGGTTGGTTTTGTGTTCAGTTGGGTGTCTT